AAAAGGCGAATAGGATTTTAGGATTTGTTATACGGACATCATATGAATTCAATGACGTGGCTGTGGCGAGGATGTTGTACAGCGCCTACGTACGCAGCAAGCTGGAATATGCAGCTGTAGTCTGGGACCCTTATGAAGATAAATACTCTATAATGTTGGAACGAGTTCAGCGTAAGTTTGCACGTTGGCTTTATAAACGGAAGTGCGGGTATTACCCTACTTGTATCCATCGCTTTTTGTTTCGGGTATGGTAGAGTTGGACACTTTGTCTCGGAGGCGAAAGATGCAGCTGCTGGCTCATTTTGTTTCCGCGATCCACCACAGGGTGGATAGTGACATAATAAGTAAGGTGGATCTGTTGGTGCCCACTCGTATCCTGTGGAGTGATGAGGGTGCGGTGGCCCCGCGCCGATATCCACGGCTGTTAGGCAAGCCCCGCACGCGCACATTGTACGCTGAAAACGCGCCTACCATTCGCGCAATAAGCCTGATCGGGGACATACTCACTCAATGTGACTCAATTGATTTATTCGCTGATCGCGTTGGCTATATATGTAGAGAGATGTCTCCCTACATTGTGTAGTCAGCGTTATCATAAAATGTTAGAATAAGGACTAGAATAATTTGCTGTTAACTATTTTTTGAATGTAATACTTATCATAATAATTGTATGACTTGTAAGCGCTTTGGCTACTTAGCTGTTAGTTTGCAATGTATGAATAAATAAATAAATGGTTTTGACTGGTATGGTCCATATCTTACGAACTGTTTCCGGTCTTTCAGATAATCGGCAAACAGTTTTAATAGCCGGGGCACGAATCCCATTCTACTTAGCTTCTGCAGTAAAATGTCGTTGTCAATCCGGTCAAAAGCCTTTTGGAAATCAAGATACACAGTATCTACCTGATGTCGAGCATCCATCGCCCTCGAAATGACATCGACCAGCTCGACCAAATTAGTGGCTAAGGATCTTTTGGGCAAAAAAGCGTGTTGGGAGCTAGTGATGTATGGCCGGCATTGAGGGAGGAGATACTCGTGCATTACCATCTCGAATACCTTAGCCATTGCAGATAATATTGCTATAGGCCGATAGTTCTCGATTCTAATCTTAGATCCTTTTTTAGGTATTGGAGTTACGCGTGATATTTTCCATATAGTTGGGTATTCTCCAGTAGTCAATATAAAGTTATAAATAAATATTATCGGGGCAATCAAACTATCGATGCACCCTTTGATGACAAATGCCGGTATATTTCTCACCAGGTCACCGACTTTTGTTGTATAAAATACAAGTACGGCCCCAAATGAAGTATTGCTCGCATCTCTTGGCAGGAACTCCCAAATACCAGATTGACCCACTTGACTCCATCCAATGTAGGGCTGTTCGTATTGTCGATGGTCACAAACTCGCAGACGGTATGGAGCCTCTTAGCCTATGAAGAGACGTTGGCTCTCTGTGCGTGTTTTAATGTCTTTACAATGGGGAGTGCTCTGAGGAACTTTTCGAACTGGTGCCATCGTCTCGTTTCCATCATCACACCTCCCGCCAAAGGAGTAGAGTCCATCCCCACATCTTGGATGCCTGGCATCTCGTCCGTTCCTTCAAAAAAACGTCAACGTCAAAAAAAGTCGTGAACGATAGTAAACGCGTGAACTCCGCATATGTCACCCGTGCGTTCATTGTTGGCGACTGTCTTCCATGAATATCTGTACTCAATTAAATACTCGATTCAGAGCACTGCTAATTCTACGCATGCGGATGGCCCGAAGGCGGATAGTCCGAACGGATCGTACGCACAGCTGTGAAACCAGCTTTAGATGATGGAAAAAAAAAATAAAAGGAATAAAACTACTAGATAATATTATTTAAAATAGACTTAGACATATATGTATGTGTAAACATTCAAAGGTGCATGCTGTAACTAGTCTAGTTATCGTGACAGCGAGACTAATAAGATAATCATTAACTAAATATGTTTTTTCCGTCGTCGCCGGCGCAGGCGGTGGCTGAGCGGGCGCTTTTGTAATCCAATTCAAGAAATGCTTTTTGCGATTATTGAATGCACACATGGCAAATCTGCAGTCATTTCCCCTTCATATTAATTTTTATTTACTTTATTTCGCGATTCTCAAAACAGCAAATTTTCGCACTTCTGAATTTGTTGCTTTTCTGTTCCATCAGGATTTGATGTGAATAACATCAAACAAAAGCCCAAATATATTTTTAAGTACTTTATGCTTTTTTGTAGAGATATTTTTAAGATTTTAGCCCCCTTACTTAATAATCATACATGTATTTTGCAAACCCATGTTCTCCAATTGCCGTAGCCTGCCCGGAAGTAACCTTTGCCCGCAAACTTACATTTTGTCCGGAATAGATTACACCTGTGCTATTGCAGATTTTGTGTGGCGAAATTACTACTTGTGTAAATACATATAATATAACCCACGACGACTATTCTTGTTACATCTACTATCAAATATCCGAATGTCTGGCCCGAAGGTATAATAACATCGTCATGCCCTTTTCAGAGTGCACACCCTTGAACCACGAAATATTTGGAAGTCAGTATTGCATAAATCGCGAGCCTCCAGCGTGCATATGTAGTATTGTCTTATATTCGCTCGCAATTTACTACTAATTTATTTAAAGTATCCAATTACTATTGTGTCTTTGGTTTTAAAATTTTCTAATTCCCGTTCCTCTATTTGTGAATTACATTTTGTCGCGTATTGACATAAAAGAACTATGAGGCCTTTATGTATTACGATACTTGAGTATTTTCCATCCCTTCCAATTTTAATTTTTTTTAGGAAAATTTTGTAAATTTCGTGTTCTAAGTAGGTAGGTACAGTAGTAGTCGTGGGTTTGTTTTCTAATTACCGTTGTATGAAAATATTAAAGAGTATTAAATATTAAATACGATTTCGCCTCAAGATAAATTATATATACAAACAAAATTATGATACTACTCGTAACTAGACTTCTAGATAATTAGACTTTATAATCAAACCAATTAAATATATTTTTTAACACAATGGCGAAATCAGTGGCGATGACGCTTGCAAATAATCAGATTTTATATATTAGCAATCAAAAGAGAAGGAAAAAGAGATATAAGAAAAGAAAAGAGTTGTTTCCAATTAGAACGCGAAACAGATCCAATTTCAAAGCAAGGTATTCAAATTCAAATTCAAATTCTTTATTTTTCACGTCAAAGCTCGTAACATTTAGCACGTCAATAGTACAAAATATCTTACCAAAGTCATTCACTACTAACATTCAATGTATTACCTATAACTAACGCACACACTCAACACACTACTGTAACTAAATTCAAAGATTTGCACATATACACATAAATTAAAATAGGAATTGTTATTATGTGTAACAATCGCGAAAACCTAAGAATTCGATAATATAATCGCATAAGCAATAAATCATTAATAGATACATTAAATGTCATAAAATAATGAGCATTTTTTTGATGAATATTCGTCAACTTTATAGAATGGATTTTCAATTAAAAATCGATCTTTTCTGTAGCACCAGAACGCGTTTTATCGGCGCCGTTGCCCCAAATTGTCACAGCGTAATTTATTATCGAATGAATGTACGCATAACGCAGTCAACAATGTATTTTTATTGATTAATGGCTTTAATATAAGAAGTGCATAATTTTCACCTGCTATTTTATTACACACATTATTGATATGAGTTTGATGACTCAAAGTATTATCCACACCCCAAAGTATTAAGCATACCCTAAAAATTTTGTATTTGGTTTAAAATCTAGCGTACGTTGTTTTCCCGAGCAATATTTCATAACTGTTGTTTACTTTTTATTGAGTAGTATACCGTTAGCAGTAAACCATTCGTCTAATAGGCCAACTACTTCATCAACTTTTTGTGCCATAACTTCCTCTTCCTTATCTTTTATCTCGACGTGGGTGTCATCAGCAAATAAATTTACAAAGCTCCACTTAGGCAAGCTTAATAACATGACAATCATAATGACAACAATAATAATTTTTAATGATTAATCACAGTTATTACAAGAAAAGTGATTTACATTTTGATCAAACTTTAGAGTAAATAAATAACAACAAAATATTTTGTTGGATTTTTTGTTGGTATGTAATAAATTGCAAAAAGTGTAGAAAATCGTAATGAAACTTATTTGCAGATTGTCAGTTATTCATTTAATACTTATTTGTTTTTATGTTTTCTTAAAAATGTTCGAACTTCTAATTCCCACAGCCATGAAAAATAACAATTTCTAATTTATCGCTTCCATAAAATATTTGTATCTCAATAAGTCGAAAACTACTTTGTCCATTCTAATGACATTTACACATTTTAATGCTTTAGTTTGAGGGTTTCATATTTCAATGTTATTGGGAATAATAAGTGAGAAAAATGGCTACTGTATTAGGTAGCTAAGAACATCGAATTGTGAGAATGACCGATTTATACGGTACAGTTAATAATTATAAATTATGCGGCAAGATTTTAGAAAACATATACTTGTTGGTTTGATCCGTAAAAACGACACATAACCTTAAGCCAGGTCAAACATCAAAATTAAATATTCCCAATAGTAAAATATTCACGCTGGTCCTAGCTTGGGCGAGTGGGCGATCGCAGTAAAGCATCCTAAGATTAAGTAGGTAAATATGTGGTATTCCTGCGTTAATTCAAAGTGTCGTGTTCCGCTCAATTGCGCTTGCTCTACTCTAAAGTAGGTGTCGTATTTTTATTCGTTATAGTATGTGTACAGACTCTGAAGGTAAATTATCGCGACTATAGTCTGTCTAGTAGTTTTACATCTTTTCTTATCTTACCTGTCCGGTCAATGATTGCCTTCGATAGATTTATTGAACGAATCAATCACTTTTGTGTAATCTTAAGATGTACTTAATAACATGTAAGTATATATGCTGTGTAATAAACATCGGAAAGTTCTTCTATTGAAAACTGGTAATCGTATGGTTCACAGATGTCTAGTCCCCGAGTGCGAGTCGTCGCCGCCGCAGTTCCAGCCGGGCGAGTGGGGGTCGTGGGCATTCGGCGACGGCGACGGTCGCTGCGAGCGGCTTGTGCCCATCGATGACTCCTGCAATCCGGACTCCTTCAATTTTAACGAAACTAAGCAGTGCAATGCTTGGATCTATATGACTAACAACTCAATTGTGTCTACAGTAAGTACCTAAATATGTTTCAGAGATTTTTTTTGCTAGCCTGCAATAGTACCCCACTGTAAACCAAAAGCGTCTCCTTTGGACTTACAAATCAATCAAGCTTCGAAGACGATCTCCATGGTCGAGTGGCTTGCGCACCGGTTTTCTTGTCATCTCTGTGGTTTCGGGTTCGATCCCCGGCCCGGACAATGTAGAAAAACTTATTTTTCAATGTTGAGTGTTTGTGGTACTATCGTTGTTTCCGATTTCCATAACATAAGTGCTTTACTTTCTTATTTTGGGTTCTGAGCAACGAATGTGATGTTGTCTAAGCCTAAACAGAAGCCTAAACAGAAATCAATCAAGCAATCTCCGGCCACTCATTTAAAAAGGTCTACGTCGTCTAGATCATTTCGTGATCTCCGCCTTAGCCTACCGCACCGCCGACGGCCACCTTGCGGCATCCATTAGGTGGCAATACAAACCTCTCAATACCTCTGGGTGGATGCGGCATATATGGTCAGCCCAGTCCCATTTTAGCCTGGTGTTTGTTTTTGTCTATGTTAGCAGTTGTAAAAATGATAAATTAAAAGAAGACATTTTTTGCTCGGCTTAGTCGGAAAATAGAATGTCCACAAACCAACAACGTATAAATTGTTCTTTATAAGTAACAATGAATAACCGTACCTGATTAGATATGATTAATCACCACAATTTAATCAAAAACCGCGTTGGATTATGTAGGTACACAATATTGACATCTATGACATATTGACATAAACGCGGTTGGGCGTTTGAACCTTAGGTTTCCATCCTCTAAGGTTTGAACTCCCGCTTCTTTGTAATCTTACAACTCCCGAGTTCTCTTTTGTCTACCGGCGGCCATGTTACAAAACAGATTCGTTATTTTTATAAATAATTTAATAAAGTTATCTTTTTTAAATGATTTGCGATATTAAGTACTTTATAAAAGGATTATTATTTTCAATGAAGACCGATACAGATAAACTTTTATAATAACACCAATAATTCAAAGTGATAGCAATAGCACCTGGATACGCATATTACTGATATCAAATGTCTTTGACCTACATGCATGATAGCGGTCGGTCCACAAAGTTTTCGACCAGAGCCTATCGGGTTCTACGTTGTGCGCTTCAAGGGCCCCTCAGTTGTCCATGTCCATACATAGGTATGTACATTAAGTAGTCCCCAACTCGCATTCCGCCAGTATATCGGACTAAGACCTAACCTGTCTCCTTATAGAAAACCCATGCCCAGCAGTGAGACGTATTTAAGCAATTTTTATTTTTCCTTCCTATTTTAGACGGTTTTGTCGTTTGAGGACAGGCTTCTGAATTTTATTGATTGTTAGCTAAATATTATATTAGAATTAATATAGTACTAACATCCTCTACAGCTTGCTCAACTGATACAAAAGCACGTTCAATATACTTTATTGCAGTTTGACCTGGCATGTCAGGAGTGGAAGCGTACGCTAGTTGGCACCATCCACAGCGCTGGTCTGTTCGCTGCAATGCCTATTACTGGTTACATATCAGATACGTAAGCATAATTACAGCATAATTCTCTTGCATTTGTTTGATTATTTTCCATCTCGCCTTTTCAATTTTACTCTTTTCATTAATTGAAGATGTGTTTTACTTTCCAGTTTAGGTCGTCGCACAGCGCTCATCTTAACCGCGGTATCAGCAGGCGTTGCGGGTGTTATTCGCTCCTTTTCCACTGGATACGTGATGTATCTCGTCTTCGAGTTTGCCGACGCCACCTTCGGTTCCGGCGTTTACAGCACCTGCTTTATTCTTGGTAATGTTTAATTGTTTTACAAATTCGGCTTCCTTTGATGAACAATTGAAAGAATAATGTTCCATCAATAATTTTACACTTCTATTTCAGCCCTTGAAATGGTGGGACTCAACAGAAGAGTGCTAGGAGGCAACATAATTTCAATTATGTTTGCACTGGGACAGGTATACCTGGCGTTAGTGGCGTGGGGCGTTCCCAACTGGAGAACATTGACGCAAGTCTTGTATGCTCCATCGCTGCTTTTCGTCTTTTATATCCTTTTCATCGAAGAGAGTGTGAGGTGGTTGCTCAGCAAGGGGAGGAAGAAGGATGCTGCCAAGATTATATTCAAAGTAGCAGCTACCAATAACAAAAAACTTTCGCCAGAAACGATCAAGCAATTAAATGATGATACGGTAATATTTCTACAGACCAGGGAAACAAAAACCCAGCAGGCGAGTAAAGACGCTGAAGCGGTGGAGCTTAAGCCGAAACAGAGATCGCTGGCAATGCAGGTGATTCAATCGCGGATATTAATGACTCGGGTATGCATCTGTTCTTTTTGGTGGATCGCTGTCACGTTCACGTACTACGGTTTGTCCATCAACTCCGTATCGCTGGTGGGTAATATGTACGTCAACTACATCTTGACTGCGCTCGTCGAGATCCCCGGGTATGCAATCAGTGTGTTGACACTCGACTGGTTCGGGCGGAAGAAATCTATCATGACGGCGTTCACCATCTGCGGTCTTTCACTGATCGGTCTGGCGTTTACCCCAAGTAGTTAGTATTTTGTATTCGGCTACGATTAATTCTAGCCCTACAAGTGCGTTTTTGATTAATGAACTCTCGATTGCAGATTTGCAGTGGCTGATGACGACGTTGAACCTACTGGGCAAGCTGTGCATAAGCATGGCGTTTAGCAGCATCTACATTTACACGTCAGAGCTGTTCCCGACAGTGGCGCGCCACCGGCTACTCGCCGCCTGCTCCATGTTCGGCAGGATAGGCAACCTGGTCGCGCCGCAAACACCGTTACTAGTCAGTAAACTTACACAACGGAATTAGCAATAAATAAAACGAATAATCGTTTACAAACCTAACAAGGTTTGCAACCAATAGTTTGATTATACGCGTTAAGTTGGTATACCGAAAGCGAAGCAAATAAAGGTGTATATCATCACCTTAAAATCACCGAGTGAAAAACTCGCATATTCGAGTTCGTTTTTACTTATTTTTATTGAAGAAAACCATATAAACTTATTGCTCAAATATATTATTAAAATAATATAGTATCTGAAAGAGGTACAATTTAACTACCTAATTAAAATGCTAACTACAAACATAATTGCGTTCACTACACTTTACACTACATTTTATCTTCGCCCTGAAAAATTAAATAGAAATCACATACGAGGTATTCACATAGTCACATTTGTGTGCATTATTATTATGTTTCAGGCGTCTTACATGGAGACACTGCCGTACTTGATCTTCGGAGTGATGGCGATAATATCGGCGTTGTTGATGCTGCTTACGCCGGAAACGCTTAATAAGCGGCTGCCCGATACAGTCGAGGAGGCCGAGGGCATTGCCCCTCTTGCACCCTCCCACAACGCAGGCGCACCCGTGCAGACGCCGTAAAGCCATGGTCCAGTGTCTATTAAGTATGATAAAAAGAGGATGATTTTGATTGTATTTATTAACTATGACTAAGATTTTTTATCTCTTTTTAATTTGTTCAAATTTTATGAAGCTGACAATCTCTACGGTTACATAATGCTCGATCATGTTTAAATAGTACATATGTTTTACTAGGGAAAAATAAGGTAGCTGTGTAAATAAATCCTCGCTTGTGTCTGGGGTCAAAAGTATCAATTTCTTTCCGGTAACATTGGTGTTCATGTTCCACACGACGTTTTTCAGTGCATTTGTGAGAAAACAGCCTTGTTGTTTGCTTTCCCACGTCGTCGATTCCATAATGTACAGATTATTTGAACTACTCATATTTATTTGTATTACCAAAATAAAGTTTTGAGCAACTGTGCTGACAAATGTCGTGCGTAAGGAAATAGAATACTTTAAGTATTGACTTAGTATAATTGTAAGTAAGTAAAATAAAAGAACAATATTGACCTACTAACAAATGGACGTCGGATTTAATACAAAAACCCCGAAGTAAACGAAATCTAAAAAACTAAAACATTTAATAAACTAGTGGAGTAATTTCACAAAAAATAATTGAATATCAATTCAATAAAAATTTAAAACATTTAATTTAAATTGTAACATCGTTGCAGTACTGCCTAATTTTGCTTGCAACAATTTAGGCTCAACTCACACTGGCGCAGAGTCGAAGCGTCGCGTCGCGTCCTGTTTTTCAACTACAACGCTTAGCGACGCGTGTCGTCGCGCGACGACGCTCGCATTAGTGCGCCCGGATCACAGTGTAGTCGGCGTCCGACGCCTCACTTAAGTAAATTGTATTAGTGATAGATCCGAAATACGTATGAATAATTTGTTTTTGTTTTAAGTAAAATGTTGTGCTGTACCTATTATTAATTAGAGTGTCGGTCAATTCATTTACTTGAATGACGAAATTTTGGTATGTTGTAAATAATGTGTGTATAACGTAGATTGTAAGAGGTAGTGCAGTTTTGTTTTTAAAATCTTGTTAAGACTTGTGCTGTTGGAAGTTGTCAGTGTTGTGTCAGTCACAACTCGTTTCGCCAACTGCTACAGCGATCGAGCCTATGCAGCGTAGTTCTTAAATGGGTTCCATCGTAGTGCCATCTATTATTAATATGAAATATTAAAAAAAGATCTTGCAGCAACATAATTATTGTGCTGTTATATTATATTTCCTTGTCGCCTTTTAAAGTTATAACCGCTAACAAAATGTATCATGTCCATACCTAGGTAATAAAACTAAATACAGACAATAGATTAACTATAGATTAAATAAAAAGTGTTTGACTTTGTCTTTACATAAATAGCAATCGCAACGGAATTATTGTACCTACTAATAGCTTCCTTGAAGGCAGAGAAACAGTGTTATATGTATCCTTCGAATTTTAGGCTGCTAACAGATTGACTGCATGTTTGCAGTTAATGCGTAAAGTCGTAATCAACTTCATGCAGCCGAGATCGCGACTGCATGAAGTTGATAACGACTTTACGCATTAACTGCGTGCAGTCGAAACCGACTTCATGCAGCCGAGATAGACTGCAATCAGTCTGTTAGCAGCTTTAAATTGAAATAGTAGTAACAGAAAATAACGAGGATTCGGGAGTCGTACACTTTGAGAGAGATATTTTTACGAATTAATGATAGGACGATTATCAGACGAGTACCGAGCCATGTTTGATTAGATATAAACGTATAGACAAACATCAACTCAATAAACACATTGGTATTATTATTATAATCGTAACACGCAATTTTGTTGTGCAACTGTATTTTTTATGTTCATTCTTATCTGAGTGAGTCGTATAATTAATTATTATAAAATGTCATCACGATCACAGGGTTTTAGTTTAAATATAAGAAGTAACTTGAATAGGAATTTACTAAGATTAACTTTGTGAGATAATCTTTTAAATAGTTAAAGATACTTTTGTAAAAGATCGCAAGTAAGTATTGTTATTAAAATAATTTTCTTTTTAACTTCTTTTATTTCAAATTGTTCTACGCATATCGTTAGTGATACATCGTAATATAACGTGTTGTGCAGCGATTCCAATAATGGTAAGTCCGAGTATAGACTACTGCAAAGCCTCGGCCTGCGCGACGGTGTCGGGCAAAGGGCGGTGCAGCGTCTCCGGTGCCGCAAACGCCAGTGCAGATGCGCTCAGAGCCGCGCACCCAAACACCACTGTCGGCAGCGCCGACCACCACGAGCTCTGAAATGTGCATGGTCGCTTTGGCTGAAATTTTAAATTCTGTTACTGCTATAAGGTACAGTGCCTCTACCATGAGTTCACTGTGATAGTTGTCTGCGTAAATTACTTCACAATTCTGTATGGCAAACTGGCAAGTTATAAAGCGCCCCTAGCGGTCACTAGAAGAAGCACCATTTTGTATACTTAGTCGCTAGCGATAAGAGCTCTGCCTCACCAGGACGCCATGGCGACGTCGCCAGCAGTGAATACGTACTTAGCTACCTCTGGCAACCAACAGTCGCCAAGCAGAGTAACCAAAGAGTAGCCAAGACACGTATGTCGAGGGCCTAACCAGTCGTTCGTTTGCGTCGTCAGGAATGGACGTGGAAGAAATCGCTCTTTTTTATTAGGTATTCCGTAAGCACGGCCGGTTTTCTATCTCCACGATGTATCTTTCTGTATCGAAAGCCATATTTTCGCCAATTTAAAATGTGAAGTCGACAGACGTGCTTTCACTACGGCGACTGTCTGGTGACTGAAGTGAGGGAAGCGCGGTTTACACGCGTACATTTTGTTGGCTACGTACGTCGCCAGCGCGCCAGTGTCGCTGAACTCCACATGGGGGAGCGTCGGTAGTGGCTGCGCTTCCAAATTGGCGACGTCGCCAATCGGTAGCCAAGTGAGGGAGCCGCCATACATTTCAATATAAATGTTTGGCTGCGTAGCTGGCGATGTCGCCATGGCATCCCAGTGAGGCAGGGCTTAACGGTCACTATAATTTCATGGCAGAGGCTCTTCTCCTTACCTATTACTAGTAAACCTTACGAATTACCTATTATGTTGATGAAACTATAAAATACTAACAACATCGCAGGACTAATGTTTAATTATTGTTTATTTACAAATAATAAATTTACCAAAAATATACTTTCAACTTTTTTATTGTGCTATCTGACACTTTTTAGATCTGTATTTGGTAGTAAGGTAGTTCGTTCAAAGGTGCAAGTGTCCTGCCCGACGATTGTCACCGTTTAGAGCGATCTGCTTAAATATTCTAATTTTTGTACGGACAACGGCACATCAGACTGAGACACATTTTTGTTCGAAAGTCGCCTCCAGTGCAACGGAACAAGATACGTCAATGTGTAGCTTGACGTGCTGGCGTGTGTACGATAGGAAAATCAGATGAATTATTAAAAGTCGGTACAAAAATTGTTGTTTATCATGTTAGTAATGCAGTCCTGTGAGGTAGTTAGTATATTTCAACAACAGTACGAGGAGCGCTGAATAGGCTTAACTGACCAACAGCGGCGTGAGCGGCGCGAGTATCGATCCCACTCGCGCGAGCATGGAGCAGGCGCCGACGAGCGAGCTGCGCGCCGAGGTGGGCATCAGCTCCGACGTGTACACGTACACCGAGTTGAAGCACGTCGCGATGCCCATCTTGCCAACTAGGTACACTGCTATCTGGGCCCACTGGACCTCTGGAAATTTATCGACGTCCTTAATTTGTTATTCATAGAGCGGTTTTTGTGGCAGTAATCATAACTCATCACCGTTCCTAGTCGAGAGGTCTTTTAACGCCATGCCAGGCGGTCAAATTATCGAATATTATATAAATGTAACTTCATCGCACGTAGGAAAAACATGCAGAATTCTTATGTATATCAGTGTGGGCCGAGGGATCACTTCTGATTTTTAAAATAAGTATGTATAAAAGATATATAAAAGATTTGTAAATCTTTAAAAAATAAGAATATTTATCATAATAAATATTGATAACCTAATTATAACTTATGCACTAGTTATGAGCGAGAATTTAATATAAAATAGCTTTTACAGGGTGTATATTGATTTATAGGGTACCTATTTGGTGGGGTATACTTTCGCTTTCATTGAATAACGCGTAGCTATGCCGAAGTCAGTTTTAACGCACCTTTAGAGACAAATGCAGTCGCTATGCAGCCCATGCCGCAGACGAAGAAACCAGTGAACAATGTCTTCTTTCTTCCTAACCTATCGAGTAGTACGACAGCTGCAAGGTCCCCGGGTATGCTAGCGATCGAAGCCAGCGCGAAGTTGAGCTCACGAGAGCCCGGCAGAGAAACAGAGTTAATAGCCAGCCCGTAATACACTAGCGCCACGGAAAACCACCACCATGAACACACCAGTACCCTGAAAACAATATATTCCTTTCTTCTTGACCATCTGATGTCGACTATGTAATTTGCAATCAAATATTGTCAATTCTGCCTCACAACCCAAACGTGTTTCAACACAAACCTCTTCAATAGAATCGTAGAAGAGAACAGCAGTCTCAAACTGAATTTTTCTTCTTTTTCTCTATCTCTGTGCTCGAAGGCATCTCGTATGGTCTTTTCGTCTTTGCCGTCGATTCGCGCCATCTTGTGTATAAGTACAGACGCTCGCTGCTTCTTGTCATTTGTGAGCAACCAGCGCAGGCTCTCATCTAGCACGAACAGGTAAGAAAAGAAGAGCGCTGGAGGGCTGTAGACGATGAGTTGGAAATGCTTCCAGTGCGGAACTAGCCACACGATCAGCGCTAAGCTTAGTTCCCCTAAGGCGATGGCGAAGCCTAAGGCTGCTGATGCAAGAATGCGCTTGTCGTTGCCGATCAGCTCCACCACTGGATAAATATTAACAAATACAATATAACATTGCAAGGATTTAATCGTTTGAAAAGTTTAATTACCAACATACGCAGATAATAAATGTATTACTTTTTAATAAATTGAAATAGTGAGTTTTTATTTTATTAGTTGTACGTACTGAAGACAAAAGCAGTGGTATAGGTGCCGGTAACTATAGCAGCCTCAAGTAATTCAAGAGCGAGGTACAGCGCGTAGTGGTGCGTGCCGGAGGTGAGGCCCTTCAGGACACCAAATACCAGCCCCGTGCTGCTTGCCACCAGCGCCGTGCGGCGACCCCATCTGGAAAATATTTCATTATAGATATATAGATAGATATTCGGATGTTGTTACATCAAAAGTTTACTTTTTCCGTGAATTGCTGTTGCAATATGGAAGAGGCTTTTAAAAATATATAATATATTTATTGGAAGCCCGGGATGCCGAAATGACGTGATATGTTATTATGTTTATATATTTTAGATGTATATGATTTTGACTTTCTATAAATCTTAAAGTCCTGACGATGACCGGGAATGTGACAACTGGATCTTTAGTACGTGAACAACTAGTCACATTGAAACGTAAACGACGGCATCGTACCATTTTCACTTTTCTGTAAAAAAATTGAATACTACGAAATGTTTTTTTTCTGATGTCCGAATTTTTCCCATTTTCCCATAAAGGTATGATAAAAGTTAATTTAAATGTTACGTAAAATACAAGTTACTTTGGAAAGGTTTATTTTTCTTCAATAATTTCGTCAAACCCGGTGTTTGTGCGGGTGCGGGATGTTTTCAACACAGAAACGCATTCGATGTTAGCGAGCAACTGAATTGTGGGTAAATAAGCATCCGATTATCCGACCACTAACTGTAATTGAAATTAGTTGTTACAATTACTATCCTTGGCAAAGTCATAGCCGTAGTCATAGGCGCAGGCTCGAGTACACTAGAGGCTATAGTAATAATAGAGAAGCACGAACTTATCGGAGATGTATCCCATGAGCGGCATCGACAGCAGCACGCCAACGTTGTGAATTGTCCCCACCAGCGTTCGTTTCCACTCCTGACACGCCAAGTCAAACTGAAATGCAAGTTGGCCAACGCGTGTGTAAAAATCTACAAAGTTGTTTTTGTATTAAATAGTTGTCCATTCATATTTCACGGTCAGTCAATATCCCACCTCGGATACAATAGAATTGTTATGTTCATAAAACCAGGCGTTGCACGATTCTGTTGCGTTCCCGAAAGAAGCGCGGCTGCAGCTGCCGTTGGCGCTGCCAACGCTGCTGTCTAATCTCGGTTTCGAGCAGCGAGAATCCGCCTCTGGCGGCCACCACCCTGGTGTCGTAGTATTTGGGGCTGTCGACTCGCATTCCGGAACTAGACATCTGGAAGTATATAAGCTTATACATTTTATATGGCATATTTATAATTATAGCCGTTGCTTTATGGCATTTATCTTTATTGCCATTCAATTAAAAATAATAACAATGCAAATATCTACCTAAGCATATAATCATTACTACACATATGTCACATTGTTTTTCAAAATCTAACGCACATTTCAGACAAACAAAATTTCGTGTAATCATTGAGATAATAAGTCGGTACATCTAAACTCTTAGTCGGTCACACACGGCGACTTTTAGCAGCGATACAAACGCGTGATTGCATTTTGCTTCACTTGTCATTTATAGGCGACGTTGAATAATTATTGTTATACGACAAGTCTGTATAGGTTTATGCACATTGTTGTGTTTTGTTAATTGTAAATTTAAAAGTTGAAATTAATAAATACATGAAACAAATAAATTAGTTAATTCAAAACGTGTATCGCGTTTATATTGCGTTTGCACCGCACGTGTTTGTAAAGGTAGGCGATTAGCGATTGTGTCGCTACGGCACCGCTGCCTAGTCGCCGTGTATGACCGCTCTAAATATTTGTTACTTGTATCCACGAACATGATAAGCATCGACATTTTCTTAAAAAACAAAAAAGCTGATAAAGCGGTATCAAAGGTTATATAACTTATAGTCTATTCCCTGACTGTGGTCATACAACATTGACTACGTTTTTGTGAACACGGGGCTATGATAAGCAGGTATCAGACTTTATTATGATATTGACGATCTATACATTAAATCAGAGCGTCTGTTCACCTGTCATCAAAGTCAAAGTCAAATAGTTTATTTGCGTGTTACAGTAAGACATATAAAATACAATTTAAGTTATTATATTTAGTTAAGTCATTTGTAGTGGTAGTGCAATTTGACACGATGTAGAAGGTTAATTATTGTTTTTAGGAAAGAAAAGGATTCTCTCCCATGTACCTCTGTCCCATTTACAGAACTAAAACCATTTATTTACCGAATTAGCATTGGCTAGTTATATAAGTACGATTATAACCAAATTGCTCTCGTTACGATTACTTTCTTATCGTCTGTAATAAATATTAATAATGTAATAAATATAAATATTAATTACCCAAAATGATGATATGCTTACAATGTTATTATCTGGGACTTTAGAGTAACGATGTAGTCTTTGCTTGGAAGTGTAAGCATTTTAATTATTTAAAATTCATTTGACAATTCTCAAAACTTTCTTAGAATTATTACAAGCTAATTTCAACTCAAAAAAGTAAAAAATTTAAATATAGAGTGACGTTATAAGTATAATAATAAAGAGATCATTCCTAATAGCACATCAGCGCCCGCGCAGCGCTCTCTGTTCGCTACGATGAGTATTTCAGCTGTGCACGATTTTTAAATAAGTCAACTCTATTGGAAGTGTTGTTCTATATTTATAACTTGAACTAGTTATAAGAAAATTGATTTGAAACGACTGAGTCGGCGACGCCGCTCCATTCCGTTGGTGCGGTTTTATCGCGTTAAGGTAGAATAATGTGTCTGTTATAACACGAGCAATGGATAATGTACAACAGGCTAATGTATCTGGATCCCTCGAAAACAAAGACAATGTATCAGAGAAGCTATTGGATTTAGACGACGTGCTGGAGAAAGAGTTGGGTCAGTTCGGTCGGTTCCAACTGACGAATATCTTGCTGGTGGCGATTCCGCTTATGGTCCCCGCTTTCATGACTGAATTCATCTTCTCTGCCTCTGCTATTCCTCACAGGTATGTACACATAAAAGCAATCAAAGAAAGTTAGTAGGAAACAGAGCAATAAGCATAGAGCTAAATGTCTGATTTGAAAAGAACACAATTTAAGTGGCAGTGCACTGGCCACACGAGCCGAAGTCGTAACGCTTGTGGTAGCGCCTGGTGGAGCAGAATCAGAGGGAACCAAATAAAATAGAAATACAATATAATGCAAACCGCAGGGACGAAGGATGACGTACACTTTGGTCCAAAATGTTTATTGGCGTATTCAATTATTAGTTGAAGGATTTGTCAAAAAAGAATAAAAAGCTTTACCAATTAAAAATTGTTTTACATGTCATATGAAATTGTATATTTTTCACCTCACTAGCTCGGAAAGATTTTCTTTCTCATTAGAAATTTGCGCGCGAATGCTGATGAATCGAGCTTGACGATGGACCTAATTTTTTCTTTCGATGAAAACAGAAGATAATGGCATATTCAACTACGCGATTTGTCGTACATTACGTATTTATGTCATGTAAATCCGTTGGTATATTTTATTCTTATTATTGTTGACATTAAATTGACAATGATAACTAATTGTGTTTATTAAATTATTTTAATTCGTCGAAGAACTAAAATGATTTCAGTAATCATTTAATCACACAAAATAAAAGTACAAGCAATAAGAAAAATTGATGAGGCGTAAATTCAGAACGCATCCGAAGAGAAACTCTTTCTTTTATTTAAAAAAGCTACGTTTTATAATTCAACTGTTTTTCTTTCATTTACCGTTTTCCTTGCTATAGTGAGGTGAAAAGTTATGTGTTTCGTTCGGCAGCAAAGTTGTTTTGCGTCTCGTGGCTTGAGACCCTCGCTACGCTCAGGAATCTATTTTTAATCTTAGCTTCCTTCGCTTGCCAGGTTTCAATACAAGCATGTTTATTATCACACAATTCAATATTTAATTTTATAATATTTATAAAATTTATTTAATTCATTCAATGTTTAAATTATCTTCGTGGGTATACGAGTGGAAATTAAATAGTTGATTAAGTAACGGTGACTAAAGTAGGAAACTAAGCATTACAGATGTCGAATCCCCGAATGCGGAGAAAACAACAAGAGCGTAGAGTTCAACCCAATATGGCTGGCCAACGCCGTGCCTCGCTCGGACTCAGAACACGCATCCTGCAACCGTTACAATCCACTAGGCGACAATGGCACCCTAGACAACTGTCCTGTCGCGCTATTTGACCAGGAGCAAATTGTTGACTGCGATATCTTCGTTTACGAGAGAGATAACACTATCGTGTACGATGTGAGTTTTCATTACTGATACAAAGGTCGAACAAAAACAAGAATAATTCCTTCGATTCGCCTGGACTCGAACTGTCGCCTCTACGGGGACACTGCTCTGACTAACTGCAACTGAGCCAGCCGATCTTAAGAATTTCTCTGTGCTTGTTGCGATCGTTGTATTGGGTTTTGGAGCTGGTGGTTGTATTTTGGCTTTCTAGCCATAGCGCTGCCTGTGAGAACTTATGACAGCTCCATCACTCAGCAACTTACCTGAACTTAACAGCTGCCAGAAGACTGACAGAGATATCGCTATATTAGTTGAAGTATTTATTTTTATTGAATATCTTGGTGTTTTTACTACCTTGATTTTAATTTATATTTTGTGAGTATACTCCACTGTTTGTCATTATTATGAATACGTTGGTATTGTTATTATTGCGCAGCCACGTTAAGGCGACAGAAACTGGGTCGAATCCAGTCGGATCGAAGAAATTTTTCTTTGTGTTTGTTTGATTTTTGTATCAAAATTTAATAACAAATTAGTACAGTATTGACACAAGACAAGCATGAAATGCATGGTAGTAAAAACCATCATGATATTCAATAATGATAGATTTGAGATTCTCCACCAACATGTCTCCACGAAAATGCATGCGCTGCGTACACTTCCACTTCTATAATACTGTGTCTTTTATGACTGGCATTTGTTTCATAAAATTTATGAATGTTCCAGTTTGATTTGGGCTGCAAGGAGTGGCTGCGTGCGCAAGTGGGCTTGTTTTCCAGTGTGGGCGCATTGCTGTCAATGCCACTCATTGGTTACTTCTCGGATCGCTTCGGCCGCCGTCTCGCACTCACGCTCTCAATCTTCAACGTCGCTCTTTTTGGTCTCATTCGTGCTTTCTCTTTCAACTACACCATGTATTTAGTGCTGCAGTTTCTGAACACCACTTTAGGCGGCGGCACTTTTACTTCGGCTTATATTTGCGGTAAAACATCACCATTTTATTCTGATTTTATAAATGGCAAATTATTTGGCTCAAACCTGAAATAAAATATTTCAGCGGCAGAATTGGTGGGTCCAAAGTATCGAATGTATACCAGCGTTTATTCATCTTCGATGTTCGCGCTGGGACAAGTAACGATGGGCGCCGTAGCCAGCCTGGTGCGGCCATGGCGATACTTGCTTATATCTCTAAATATTCCCAGCTTCCTCCTGCTCGTTTGTTACTTTTTCTTGTCGGAGAGTGTGCGCTGGCTACTCTCGAAGCAGAAATATGCCGAAGCGCGGAGAGTGCTTGAGAATGTAGCAAGGGTTAATAAAACGCAAATAAGTGAAAAGTCCATGCAGGCCTTGATGTCTCCATCTTCACAAACTGACCGGGTTCGTACTTTAACTTACATTTTAGTTTTTATTGTTGTATGTTATACTTACGTATGTAAATAATGGTTTCCAGGACGAGGCAGGTAATCCAGGACTGATCAAAACGGTATTACGATCACGGGTGTTGTTACGACGAGTATGTACAACGCCCATCTGGTGGGTGGCCTGCACGTTCGTCTACTACGGGCTATCTATCAATTCTATTGGGCTCTCGGGCAACATGTACCTCAACTACATCTACACCTGCGCCGTTGAGATTCCCGGTTTTTTCAGCGCGCTGTTTACTCTGCCCATAATTGGAAGGAAGTGGACTCTTGCTTCGGGTTTTCTCTTAAGCGCGGGATGTAACTTTGCATTCGCTTTTATTTCTATAGGTAAACTGATAACATCTCAGTTTTTTCCTTCAATTAGACGCAGCAACAATTGCAAGTAAAAATTTACTCGCTTTCCATTTGCAGATTTGGTCTCTGTCCGGTTGGCGCTTTTCCTTTTGGGCAAGCTGTTCATTTCAATGGTGTTCACGTCGGTGTACTTGTTCACGTCCGAGCTGTATCCTACGCGATACCGACACACCTTCATCGGCTTCTCCTCGATGATAGGCCGCATCGGTACTATCACTGCGCCGCTCACACCTGCGCTCGTTAGTATTTCTGGCTTTGAATTTTTTGCGGTGGTGTTTGATAGCTCCTGTCACGCATAATTTTCACTTAAATATAGATTTGTACATGTGTACAAGTGGCAGCTACGCATAAAATCTATATATACTTCAATCGTTGTGAATTCTATATTATTATATTTACATAAACTAGAGATTTCACTTCATTTATCAAAATCGCAAAAGTGAGGTTTACAAGATTTAGCGACATAAAAAGTCAGTATCATGAATAGTCGGTTAGTTCAACTATTACTATGTACTTTCAACCAAGAGTATTTTAGTATTAAGTAACTTTAACAGTGAAACGTATTTGAAATCACAGCTACTTTAGTCGAATTTGCCAACATAAAATTATTATTTATTAATTAGATTTTTATTCAATTGATATTCAATTATTTTTTGTGAAATTACTCCACTAGTTTGTTACAATTATTAATACAAAGATCGAGCACTCAGAAAAAAATATTTCGATCCGGTCGGATTCGAACCGACGTCTACTTGCATACCGTGCCAGACGCTATACCAACTAAGCCACGGAACGAACCAACGGACCTCACGAATTTTTCTATGTGCTTGCGTCGAGTCTTTGTACTTGGTCTTTCAACGACTTCGGTTCGAATCCGACCGGATCGAAGGAATTTTTTCTGAGTGTTCGATCTTTGTATTAATAATTATAACAAATTATTATTTATTATTATTGATATTATAACAAAAAAAACTGTTTGTGTTGATGCTAGATATCGATTTACTCGGTATATTCGTGACCGCTGCTAGACAAAAAACCGTACATTTAAAATTATAACAAAACGACGGAAAGGCCTAAAATTTCGAACCCCGGTATTTTTTGAAAAGCTCATGGTCGATGTCCATGTGCATAACACTGTTCGAGGGTGATATAGACAAAAAAATAATGTTATCAAATTGTGCTTGTGTCAGGCGGAGTACTGGGAAGGCATTCCGTCGGTGCTGTTCGGTGGTGTAGCATTGGTGGCGGGCTTTCTAGCGCTCACGCAGCCCGAGACGCTCGGTGTCAAGCTGCCGGACACCCTGGTCGAAGCCGAGGCGCTCGGCCGCTCAAACGACTCTCGTCGCCTCAGAGAGATAAACTAGGCGACTAGTTTTACTTGGGACTTGTTAGTCCCGTCGAGACACTGCCACTGCGCTCTTCACCCTGAGATATAAGTTGACAAGTCCCATGTGTCTAAAATTCACAAGCACCCGTACCCTTCAAACCTGGAACGCAGTAATGCTGACATCATTGAATGGCAGCAGAAATAAGTAAGGCGACAGTACGTCCTTGGACGGACTTTCACAATGAGCTCTAGTGTTCCTATGAATATTTGAACTCTGAAATACTTTAAACAAACAAACAAAAACGATGTCTAATGTTCCTAAAACTTTAATGGTGCTTGGGTCCTATAAAGTCGAGTTAAAATTTTTATTGTATGTCAAAGAATTATAGGATTTACTTGATCTGATAGTCACAAAGTTTTGCTCAATGCTTTAAACAGTATGGTCAGCTTGATTCGTGTCACGTTACTGTATCAATTTTCGGTAAAAATACATTTATTGATCGAAAACATTGGGATTTTCCAACAAATATAGTTTGTAACATTTCTAACTATTGGGATATTTCGACGTACATACAATATTCTTCTTAACACACAAGCACTTCCTAGTATCACATTGTTTTGTGCACCTACATTTAACATATTTAATATTATGATATGTTTAAAAAGGCGGGAATCGCAAAACTAATTATACTGTGCTAGTAGCACATAACGCATGTAAATATTGCCTTCTAAAAATATCGATATAACAAACTTATGTAAATAATTTCTAATTAGAAAGTACATTATATAAACAAAAGATTTGCTGGATTGAGACTGTAAAAGTTGATTGTTTGCGACAATGGCACTCGAGCATGTGCAAACTGATAACGTTGTAGAAGGGTCATTCACTTTATTGACATTTTAATCCCATTCCAAGTGCGGAACAATTATGTAGGTAAAGTGTTTGTAATATGATTAACACGGTAGTTGATATTAACTTTGTCTCCGGAGTGGGCAACTTTAAAAAACGTTTGACCTGGCATTTCTCTAAGCAATCTAAATAATACACCAATTTAATATTTCATGCTTACCTTTTATTAAGTTGCTGGGAACACAAATCTTAAGATCGGAATGATGAGTGTGTTAGTTATTTTGAATACCGAAGGCTGCAGCGGAATATCACAATATGTAGACAAATAATTTTATTATTTATTTGTTTATTCATTTATTGCATTATCACACTTATATTAAGTACAGTGGCTTCAAAATGTGTATGTGACACCCAGTAAGGGCACAGTAAAGTGATGAGGGCACCTACTCATTATAAAAGTAATAAAATTGTAGTCATATTAAATAAATCATTACAATTATACATGCATAAGATAAATTGAGAAGGATATTGGAAGTGTCTCAAATTAATTACATGAAAAATAAATTTAGTCATTAAAAAATTCTTTATTATTATAATAACTTTTATTTATAAGGAATTCTTTCAATTGTTTGAAGAAAATTTTAAATTCTTGAATTTCTTTTATGTAAATTGGTGTGTGATTGTAAGTTTTAGTTGTTATAATTTTATGTTTGTCAATATCCTAACACACTTTTTCTGTAATACAAATACATCATTAACGTTGGTAGAGTTTTCCCATATAATTACGCCATAAGACAACCTCGAATAACAGTACGCTTTAGATGACGCAGGGCGTATGTGAATGATGACAATTTGCTGGTCAGATTACGGATGAACGGTTTCCAGTTCATGTTTAAGTCGAGATCAAGTCCCATTAGAGTAGCAGTGTCAACAGCAGTAATGTCTGATTGTTATAATTATAGTTCAAAGGTAGGGGAAATTGTTGAGAGGGTTTAAATTGTATTAATTTATTTTTATTTAGATTTAATTTTAAGTTATGTGTTTCTAGCCAATTTAGAATTTTGTCCAATGTAAAGTCCAATTAATTTTTTAATTAATTAGTATTAGAACACGGTACTGTAATTGAAATGTCGTCTGCAAAAACTGGATGAACCTACATATTTCTAAGAAAGCATAGTGCATGATTAATTATTATTATTATTTAATTGAGTCTAGCGTTTGCTTTTATTTTATTGTTCTTGATTGATTTAATTTCATTTTTATTTAATTTAATTTATTTTATTTTCTAACGTGATGTACGCGTGCGCGTTCAATTTTGTACAATAATAATACGTATGTAATATTCCGAAATAACTGATTTGAATTTGAATTTTGAATTTGATTAAGACTGCATTGGTCATCAAGTTGGTGGGGGAGTCATTAGCGTAAATTAGAAATAAGATACACCCTAATACGCTACCCTGTGGGATAGAGCCTTTCATGGATACTTCTTCGATCTGACACTTTCCATCTTTCCCGTATTAAAGTTAGTAGCTTCTATCTCAACATTACTGTCTAAGATTTTCGAGGTCAGATTTAAACCATAGTTTCCCAAAGCGGTCCCTACCGCCACTCAGTGGGCGCTGAAGAGTCCAAAGGGGGGGCTTTAGGGCTCTCGGAAGCAATTGGGGGGCGTTAATGCTACTATGGGGTGTTACCGCATTTGAAAAACAAACTGAATTATCTATATAAACTACACTACAAATATGCATTTTTTTCCTCGTGATTTGTTTGTGTTAAGTTAATATAAAAAATACGTTTTCAATTTTTTTTTGTGGTGGTGGGCGCTAATTTTTTAAAATTTATTCTTATTTATAACTTTGGGAACCTATGAGTTAAACCATCTGTACGTTGTACCTCTAATACTAGTTCCATATAATTGATCTTCTAATGTGCTATAAACAAACTCTATCATACGCCTTACGCATATCCAATAAAAGACATGCTTGCTATCGTTTATCGCGTCAAGAATTTTTTGAACATATTCGTAAGTGGCTAATGTCGTCGAATGTTTTTGTCTAAAACCGTGTTGGTTTTTATGAATACGCAGAACTTTTCATAAAACGAGTAAAGGCGGTTTGCCATCGCAGTTTCAAATATTTTTGCCGATGTAGGTAGCAATGCAATCGGGCGACAATTGTTTGGATCTGTGGTCACCTTTTTTGAGTGTAGGTTTAATGAATGATATTTTTAGGAAATCTGGGAATTCGCCTTCAGTGAACGATTGATCTATGAGTTTGGTATATGGTGTTATCAGTTGGTGTATTTTTTTTTATGAAAGTAGGAGAAATTTCATCTATTCCCATTAAATATTTATTTTGTAAATTTTTTAGAATTTGTTTTACTTCATTTTCTCTTCCGTTCCTATGAATATGCAGGTCGTACTCTTTTACAATTGAAACACATTATTTAAACGTTGATATATTATTTTAGCTTTATTTGTTTATTTAAAAATTTAATATTAAAAATGTACATACTATTGTAAAGAAAATGAATAACGGAAATTGTACCTGTATTGGAGTGGAGCAGCGGCGAAGACGAAGTTGGCCTGACTCATGGCAATGAATACGGCAGGCAGCAGCGCCAGCGCGCACTGCGTCCAGCGGTACCAACCCACACTCGCCACGGCACGATGATGCACGTCGCTAACAACCTGGCTTACCACCATTGCACTATATGTACCACTTTTATACGCGCTTCCTACACTTTGGTTAGAAACATTTAAGTCTAATTTGTTTAAGTCTAGCGTGTGACTTCCCCTCAAGCCGAAAAAGCTATCTGTGTCATGTTATTAAGCAATGTATACATAGGGTAAAAGGCAGAAAAAACGCATTGACTAGTCTTGAGAAGTGACAATGCTACGTTGCAGAGCGTCTGTGGTACATAACGTGAGCGCAACTGGTGTACCACGGATGTAGTTAATTAAAATAAACGGTAACGCATATTGGCTACTTGAAAAGAACAACTTTTGGCACTAGTTGTATTTTGCTTGGAACAACATTTATGTTTGCGTAACTTCAAGTTGTGCTATTGTGCGCGTTGCACGCTGTGAACTGCGCAATTCAAGCTCCGCAAGTGAATTTACAGAATGCAATGCGGAACCTGATCCCTCGTTTGACAATAACCAACAATAGGTTGCATGTTGGTTACGTTTATGCGCTTTGAAAATTACCTGTAGTTTAAGAAGGCACGATGCTGGTGGCAGTAGAGACCGGCAAATGCTACGTATGAACTTTATTTTCTTGAAGGTATTTTATGTGTGGCTTGGTAGCAAGAGCCTATTCTGAATAAGAATGTGCTAGGCGAGCATATCAGTTAGGTATTTGATATGAAACTAGAGAATTCCCTGTACATCAGGACCATAGGAACGACATTATCTCCGGCGTACTACCAACCCGGAGCAAGCTGCACTTGTACAAAAGCTTGAAAAGCTTGATTGAAATTGTAACACACAGACAATTGTAGACATTGTTCAAGCAGCGGATGCACTCCACAGTGCTTATCGATTACACCAGATTCTTACACTCATATCTGAGAATACGGTAACCTTCTCACAGAGGGTGGTGAGCTGAGAATATGGTAACTGAGATCATAGTGAGCTGAGAATATGGTAACATGAGAACGTGGTGAGCTGAGAATATGGTGAGCTAAGAATTTGGTAACCTGCTCACAAAGGATCTCGACCCAATTCATTACCGCTTTGAAACCAGAAACTTCATAATAATAATAATAATAATAATAAACATTTATTTCAGATAATTGCATCCATATTATTGTTAGTAACATTGGGTACTTACAACTATGTTAATTAATAATAATAATGATAATAATAATAATAATAACAAAATTTAACTATAATACAATTAAAATGAAACTAAGACTAATACTTACATACAATTAAGTCCACCCAGAACTTCAGGATGGGACAATCAAACCTATTAGCGATTACGTTCAGAATCCTGTTGTGACTACCTCGCACCCGGCTCAACAGAGACGCAACCCGCTTCCGTCGGATGGCATAAAAGTCATCAGTGCGTTCCTCGGCGAACATCCCTGAAGCACTGCAATAACGAGGCAGTCCCAACAGCATCCTAAAGGCGTTATTATATTAGACGCGGAGGGCATTGTATACTTTTTGACTGTAATTGACCCATAGACTGCTGGTGTAAAATACTTGACAGAACGCCTTAAAAAGGGTAATTTTGACTTTGAATGAATGAATCTGAATTATGTTTCCCATGAAGACGCAAATTAGCTGTTTAAGATTATTACAACTTGGATAATACCTTCATGCCGTTTTCTGGAACCAGCATGTATGCTCGCGATGACATCTGCTATAGACTTATCAGTGTGTTTTTACATCTCACCAGCTTGGAAAGGTTTTCTTTCTCATTAGAAATCTGCGCGCAAAAGCGTTTCTTCTACGCTAGAGTGGAAAAGGTTTTTGAAATTCGACCTTGACGATGGACTGTGGTGCACCTAACTTTTCTTTCGATGCAAAAAAACCTAATGACACGTTCAAGTACGCGATTTGTCGTACATGATTTATGTAATATAAATCCTTTGGTATATTTTATTCTTATTATTGTTAACATTAAACTGACAACAATAACTAATTTTGTTTATTGAAACTGATTTGTTGTAGTTCAACTGTTTCTTTCATCTATCATTTTTCTCCCTACAGTGAGGTGAAGAGTTGTGTGTTTTGCTCGGCAGCAAACTTGTTTTGCGTTTGTCTTGTTTGCCTTAACTGAGCACAGAGTTTACAGTCGTCAAGTGGGAGCTGCAGATGACTCATCAGCGGCTGTGACGCCGGGAGTCCGTCAAGTGCAGACATTGCGCCGACCCCCAACGATTACCGTGACCTCATCTTCGTACACATATAATACAGTTGCAGGTATAGATAACGGTCGGTTGTTCATGACTAATGCAAAAGTCATATTTCTAAGCCGTATGACCCCTGGCAGAAACGATATCAGATAACGCCTCATTAAATTGGACTTTGCTTCTCAAGCTGACAAACACTTGGCGTTGGTTGTCGACAAAGTGAGTCAGTGAGCCGGGCCTCTGACACCATAATTGTCCAGCTTATGTTCTAGCAGGCACTGTCTGCAGTGTCAGTGGGGCACAGCAAAGTAATTCTATTAAGTCAGTCATTCAGTTAGGTCTTATCAGGTATTTAAGAGTTCTTATAAAATATATAAATTTATCTTTATCACCTGGCTGAATAAGGTTTCAATTGTGGTAGTCACGGCGACGTGAAGGATTAAGTCCGACTTATACCGACTTAAATCTGATGGTGTTTCTCCTTGTCGCTTTCCGATGGGAACATGAAAACGCAACTATACTACCGCGAACCTAACGACGACTGCCCTCACCAGCGTTACCTTGGAAGGTTACTTTCCTCCCATTACGCCTTATACTGATGACGTATTGAAGCAGAGTGCATGTCATCCAGCTTCGAAGACTTGTCGAGCACCGAACGTCCCAGCTTCCGATACCTTTTAATAGCAACTGCCCACTTTAGCAGTAATCTTATCTATTAGGACGGAATCGGCTAGTGTCAGAACCAAATAAAAAATATAAAAACCGAGTTTGACTTGAAATCGAGTTTTGCCAGTTATACTTCCAATGTAGGTATGAATATTTAACTGTTTTATTAACGTTTTTGGTGACAATCTCCGTGGTCGAGTGTTGCTCACCAATTATCATGGTGTCGCTATTTCTGAGGTTCGAATTTTCGATTCTCGGCCGGGTCAATGCAGTAAAACTTTTCAATATTGTCTCGAGTCAGTCTATGTGTTTGTGGTACCGTCGTTGTTTCTGATTTCCATAATACAAGTATTTTAGTTACTTAACTTGGGATCAGAGCAACGTATGCGATTGTGATGTTATCTAATACATATTTTTCGCTTATTTTACCTTATTTTTTAATTATTTATAAATCTTATGAATTTAAGTTAAATTTGAATTAAAACTACGTGGTAGAAAAGGGATATGAATATTTACGTCAATAAAAAATACGGATGTAGACTGAAATCGGTGTGAACTTTTAAAAATACTAATAATAGATCATCAGTCATGTGTGAATATTGTTGTTACTACAATGACAGCAGTTGCAAAACGTTAACAAAGACTGTAGTATCAATACAGTTCCTTGTGAAAGAGTAATGTAATAAATGCGTGGAAGTACTGCCACCTGTTTCCACCGCCAAATAGTAATGTGAGCATTACTGTGTTCCGGTTTGAAGGATCCAAGAGTGCTGCTCAAATTCCAGGCACATGGGACTCGTTAACTTAAGTCTTAGATTGACGCGCGCAGTGGCGTGACCCTAAGCTCTTTGCGATTTGAAAGGCTATGGTCTTTCCTTTGTTTCGTCCGATAGTTGATACTGCTATGTTGCCGGAGGAGTACAGTTTTGTAGGATGTAGCTTTTGTAGGATGTACAGTTGTCGGATAGTGAGAACCACAGGATTTCGATGTACGGAACAGGAATGGTCGAATAGTAGCTACTTTTAGGATTTATTTCAAAATTTAGAAAATGATTTGATGATTTTTTATAATTATATCAAACTAGTACTACAATTATATCTAAACATCATAATATTAATTACAAGTAATATTACAAATTATTTATTGTTGCTATATTATGTAACATAGGTATTATTAAGTTTTTGTGCCATGAGGGTAGGTAATCAGATCAGATCAGAAAAGAAGGGTTTCAGTTCCCTTCGCTAAAACCTCCGGTGACTAGACGGCTTACAGCTACTTTCACCAAAGAGTAAGTTTAGCTATCGAAAGGGGAAATACTGAGTTTTCTTGGTGAGTTCGTTCCATCGTAGATCCCGTTTTTGCTCTAGAGCTAGGTAGTAGTCAAGAGCAAGTCCATTCACTTTATAAAAAAAAACTAACTAAATGAATGAAAGATAGTAAATTTCTTTTTCATTTTTTCTATATTAACCGTATTAAGTATTATTCGGTTATCTATCTCAATCTGTTGCTTTCCCATGGCCTAAAAGATATTTTTTTTGTTTTAGATATAAAAGGCGGTATTCTTGAGCAATCACGTTACGGTCATATCGAGTAGCACCACCACTCTGTAAGCAACACGCCACGGGGCTGGCTGGAATTGACCGTTTACGGACAAAGGCCACAGCTCACACGTCTGTGATCTCCGTATCACATTGACATACTAATATGACATTTTATTTATTACTATTTCTTTAATGCTATATAAATAATTGTTATTTATATGAATAAATATGACCTCAATCAATAATACAATACGAGTAGCAAACTGCAATTGGCAAAGCCGGTATTACGCAACGTCGAGTCGATTATACTAATTAAACCAATTCTACACTAACTACAAAAACATTGAAATCCAATCGGGAATAAATATGTATCAAACGCTCTATACCAAAATATCGACGTAGATAAACTTCTGTTAACACATACATCTCTAGTGCCTATGAAGGTTGACATTGGGATAACTCAATGATTTGATAAACGCGGATCGTCAGCTAGTAGTTAGTGTAGAAACAGAGTTACGTACAAATTGAACGTCATTACCTTCACATAGCGTGCTCTTTCAACACAATCAACCGCTTATTAGCACCCTATTGTATTACACCAGGTATGTTCCTTTTTATATCTTAGAAACCAACCTTTGTGCATTCTATTTACTATTAAGTGACAGAACTTTCATGTTCACCATTCAATATACATAATTAACTAGCTTATGCAACTTGGTCTGCGTGGAATAACAATGTACAGAGTGTTTTTTTGTTTTTAAATGGGATAGTATGGGGAAATAAGAAACCATAGAAGGTACAAGGAAATTGTTTCAGGAACCATTAAGTCTTCTTTTGTGAAAACAATTTTTCAGAGTTTTCCATAAAAATGAATAAAATTGACCAAAATTTCTTTTAGTGTTGATCGACTCCGTTTCTTGAACGAATTATTTCGTTGTACGGGAAGAAAAAATCGGGACAGCAGAAGTTGGTTCAATTTAATAAAATGATTTTTCACACAAAATGAATAAAGTTGACTAATTTTTTTTAAGCTGATAGACGAATGATTTCATTGTATTAGGAGAAAATAATCGAGATAGCAGAAGTTATTCAAATTTTATAAAATATCATTCAATTTTTAAAACATTTTTTAATTAAATTTAACCGACTTCTGCTATCTCAATTTTTTTCTTCTCATACAAGAAATTATTCTTATAAGAAACTGAGTTTATTAGCATTGAAAAAAATTTGATCAATTTTATTAATTTTTATGGACAACTCACGCTAGACCAAAAAGAAAACTACGCCATAATTATTTTCACAAAAAAGACTTAATGGTTCCTAAAATAGTTTCCTTATAATATGTTCTATGGTTTAGGCTTTACCCACACTGTGCCATTAAAAAAAACACTCTGTATAACTGAAAACTTCTTTATTTTAGAACACATGAAAATCATGACATGACGAGTGTCGTCCTTGTGTTCGATAGATTTTATCAGATTTCCAATCCACAATGCAGTGTCGCATGTATATACATAACTGATTTGAGAGAATAAAGTGCCGCGTTCTACAGTTCGTTTTTGCTTTACTGTCAATTAATTGTTTAGAATAGAATAGAATAGAACAGAATACGTTTATTTGCCAGAATACAGTAATTACAAAGGTCTTAAGTAAAATTAGGTACATTGTATTCAACCTGCAAGCAGATGTGCAAATATTAATGGAATTCAATGTTTCTTTAGTCTCTATAGTTTCTAATTAATGTAATGAATTTGTAAATTCTAAGTATTCTTTATTACTGTAGAAGCAATGTGTCAAAAGCCATTTTGTCAATTTTAATTTAAAAGTATGTCCTTGTAACAATTTAATTTCGTTTGGTAATTTATTGTAAATAATTATAAACATGTTAAAGCAGTTATTCTTATAAATTACTTTATGGCAACGAGGTTGGTATAAGAGATTCATAATTTTTGCTCTAGTTTGCCTTTGAATGACTTCACCGCGTGTTTTAAAATATTGAGGATGAGAGTTGACAAATACGCAGATATCCCTAATGTACATGCATGGCAAAGGTAATATGTTCAGCCTTTTAAACAGCGGTTTGCAACTGTCATCGAACCACGCACCGCATATTGCTCGAATACACTTCTTCTGGACTTTAAACGCTCTTTCTAAGATTACTGAGTTACCCCATAGTACAAGACCGTAGCTGAGCACGGACGAAACGTAGCCGTGATAGGCCGTCAACGCAGCTTCTCGCGAGACAGTTTGCCTTAGTCTTCGTAAAGCGTAAACAAATCTGTTTAGGTTCATGCACATCTGTTCGATGTGTTTCTTCCAGTTAAGGTTCTTGTCGATTGTTAACCCATGAAAGTTAAATGTGTCTACTTCATCTACAGTATCAGAGTTGTAATTAATTTTAACCGGTATGGGATTTGAGTTGTAAGATCTAAATGTCATAACTTTGGTTTTACTTATATTAATATTCAAGTCATTGATGTCCATCCAACTTATTACGTCTGTCAGTGCTTTATTTACGTCAGTGTTAAAAGTCGCTTTGTTTTGGCATTTTATTATAAGAGTTGTATCGTCAGCAAATTGTATACAATTATGATCAATAGCATGTGGTAGATCGTTAATGTAGAGTAGGAACAGTAACGGACCCAAGACGCTACCTTGCGGTATTCCAGCATTAGTCGTCTTAAGGTGTGATCTAAAAATTTGTTTTTCTAATCTATTATTGTGTTTGTTTTTTGTTAGTCACCAACTCCTGACTGTTCACCGGTAAGAGCGAATGGCGCGCAATGGTTTTTGTATCAAACTAATTTGCCATTGATGTTTGAGACCTACGTCCGCAGTGGACTTGAGATAATTATAATTTAATTTCCCTATCTTACTCTTAACTTCGTCAATTAAATTTTGAAAATATTGAAAAGTTTCTGCTTGGCTATTGTTCGTCGACCTTTTTGTTTAACTGAGACACAATATTTCCCAAACGTTCATAATAGATAGATACGAATTTCTTATAAGCAATGTCTTCAAATATTCTTTTAAATAGTCCAGTTTACTAAGAATATCATTTAATTGTAACTGCCTCAGTGGCCGAACGGTTACCTTTGCGGACTGCCACGCAGAGGTCCCAGGTTCGATTCCCGGGCCGGAAGAAATATTTGTATGGCCTACATTTATTTCTCTCGTGGTTTGAGTGTAAGTTGTGGTTGTCCATGTGTGTGCCCATGGCATCCGCGAGACAGGGTTTCCCTAGTGCGGGGCTATGAGTGTGTGCGTTATTATTATTATTGTATCTATTTTAGACTTTTTTATTTTAGACAAGTCGTGGCTTGGTGCGATCTTTACTGACTCCATGGTTGATGATACAACGAAGCTTGAAACCTAGTGCTGCTTGTCGCATTACTGATGCGCGGGCTGGGCTCTGGCATTCGTGGGCCGGATACCGCTTGTACACTTCTCTTTTCTTCCTTGCAATCCTCTATAATGTTACCTAATTATTTTTCTCCATTTTAATCTTCTATAATTTTCCTTCTAAGTTTTTTTTGTTAACTTTTCTTTTATCGGTCTTCTTGATCTAAAATTTTGTTTTTTTTTCCTTTTTGATGTTAACGTTTCTATAATTGTCCTACCATGCGATCTTTACAGTTTTGGGTTTTAAATTTTAATTTCTTCAGCTATCAGTTTATTTTACAAACTCGCTGCAGGTGCTCGCTGGCAGGGTCGTGTCTCGTATTATTGGAAGGATGTAGGTGATAGAGAGCAATACAATGGTTCACAGAGACATATTTATTGTTCGGTTTCTAGAATAAGTGCTAAAATAAATGAAATTAAAATAAAATGTGGACTTATAATAATAACGCACACACTCAACATAGCCCCGCACTAGGGAAAACCCTGTGTCGCGGGTGCCATGGACACAGTCATAGACAACCACAAATTACACCCAAACTCACGAGAGAAATAAATGTAGGCCATACAAATATTTCTCCTGGCCCGAGAAGAAAACTTCATTGTTAACCAACGCACACACACACTCAACGCACACACTCAACATAGTCCCACACTAGGGAAACCCTGTGTCGCGGGTGCCATGGACACACACATAGACAACCACAAATTACACCCAAACTCACGAGAGAAATAAATGTAGGCCATACAAATATTTCTCCCGGCCCGAGAAGAAAACTTCATTGTTAACCAAGCAATATGCTTGTCTGTTGCAGTTACAGTACAACATAGTCTGCCTATATTTCCTGTTTCTACGTGTATCTGATAAATTTAAAATTGAGTGAAAGTATTTTGAGCGTCGCTGCGCCTACTGACAAGGGAGAATTAGTTTTCATTAAGATACAAATGTTCATCTGTACAAAATTTTATTCAAAAATTAACAGACTGTCTGAGAAACCCAAGAGCAGGTCACCTTGCCCAAAGCATTAGCATAGCTGTACAAAGGTGGAACACTGCCACCATCTTGGGCACCTTGCCGAGTGGACACAATTTTATTTATATAATTTAATCCTGGTTTTAGTTTCTAGTATTTAAGCTTTTATTTTACCTTACCATATATTTTAACTTATTATCTAATAAATAAACAACTGTTCAATCCCTCTTTATCCACATATACTTTAATATAGTATACATACCTGTTGCTTTTGAGGGAGATGATAATACAAAATTCGTATTTCATTTTCCCGATTCGAGTTATCGTCTGAAAATATTGAAAAGAATAAAGCACTTTTTAATATGCAGTCGGTGAAGCACGTGCCAACCGTATACTGAACACAGTTAATGTTGACACTTTTATGTTTGCAAGATGAAAGTTTAAATTACATTGTGCACAAAAGCTTTCTTGACTATGAATATTTATAGTCGTGTCTTTTTTGAACACGGAGTAAAATGACAGTTCATCGCGCAAAAGTGTTGCCCATTTGCGAGCAGCTGTGATTGCAGTCGATAAATATTCTATCGACTATCGACTAAATATTGGTCACGCTTATGGAATGAACAGCCGAACTTGATTCATTTGAATCATCCTCGGGCCATTTTTCGTCCAATTACCGAGCACAGGTTCAATTGAATTGTCAACTTTTGTAAGTTCACACATTGTACGTGCACTGTATTTAGAACTATGTTTTAATAAAACACATAATACAACAATAAATAAGGAACATAATAAAACAGGAGATATATTTTAAAGTTTTATTTTAATTTAATTTAAATTTTAATTCATTTTAGATAATCAAATATGATTAAAATGTATATAAAAAAGAATTGATTTCGATACTAGTAGGTCATCTGTCAAAATAAGAATAAAGAAGGCAATAACGCAATTAGTAAGCACTAAGTAGAACGTCGTAACATTCACAATTCAGTAATTTGTAACAAAATCTTCTTTCATAATCTATCGATAAAACTGTCGACTTGACTATTTAAAGTTTTATGAAAACTGGTAACCCTGCACATGTAGTTTTACTCCGTCTTCAAAAAAGACAGACTATACAACATTGTATACATCTCCGTTTAAATTTGTTGCAAAAAAAACAGGAGCTTTCCTTTTTATTATCCTGTTGAAACGTAATTGATAAGCCGTACTAAGTGATAACATTCGTCGGCCCATAACAATTATTTGTAACTAGTGAATTGTAACTCTATCAGGGCCCATGCTTGTGTAGGATGCTACTTCTCGTACTATATGTGATGCCCATACTGCCCTGGTTGAAAGAGCACGCTGTATGAGATAATGACGTTTAATTTGGACGTAACTCCACACTAACTACTACCTGACAATCCGCGTTTATCAAATCATCGAGTTATCCCTTTTTTCGTTCTCAAGGCAGCATCAATAAATATAAAAAAATAAAATAGTAACTTTGTGCCAAAAACTAAATTCGCATGATTTGAAAATATCTTCCATATCGTAAATAATCTAACGAAAGAATATAAAAAAATGTTATCAAAGGGAAAGATATTATGATAACCCCGTATCTAATCAAACCGCCGCAAACTGCCGCTATGAACTATACACAAATACCTGAAGTATCACTTTGTGGTACAGCTTTGTCCAGGGTGTCTAAATTTAAATATTTGAGTCATTGGGTCGCGGAGGATCTCAATGACAATTGTGACATAGAGAGGGAGCGCAGGTCGCTGGCCGTTCGGTGTTGGCTCGCAGATTTGCACGTTGTACTAAACAGGTAAAAATTACACTGTTTAAAGCCTGCTGTCAAATGCTGTACACGTGCAGTCTGTGGGTCGCGTATTCGGGGCAGACATTCAGCGACCTGCGTGTTCAATATAATAACGCATTCAGGGTGCTGATGGGGCTACCGTGGAGGTGTAGTGCTTCGGGGATGTTTGCCGAGGCTCAGGTGGATGGTTTCATGGCCATCGTGAGGAAAAGGTGTGCATTTGCCCCGAGGCGACTCTGCGGGGGCTCCAACGGCATCTTATGTGTGTTCACAGATCGGTGGGATTCGCCACTTCTGCATAGATGGATTGAGATCCACACAGTCATTTAGTTGTATTGTCCTTTTAAATTATATACAATTTAAATTATTTAAATTATATCATATTTAAATTAAATTATATCAGATCTTAAGTTTTTTTTTGTTTATACCACTATATGAATTTTTATCTGAAATAAGTATATTTGAATTTGAATATTTGAATAGTACGAACTGAGAGAATGAATAGTCACAAAGCGCGTCATGGTACGAAAAGTTAAAGTAAGGTTAAAGTAATATTGTTTTAAGAGGTTGTGGTAGGCTCCCAGGTGCTTCTGGCCTCGACCAAGCACGACAGCTCAACGGAACCCAAAGAAGGGCTAAAGATGCTACCGTAGAGGTTGCAGAGAAGGGCCGGGAGGGCAACACTAAAAACTTTACTGACTCCTAACCCATCGAACCAGAATCAACCGAATGGAGGAAGGACTCAAATTTCCAACGATATGTAGAGGACGAAAGTTTATTTTGGAACGAATAAATAGCAACGTATGATAAATAGAGCCATGTGGAGGTTGATTTGGGAAAGACGGTTGGAAGTTTCATTGAATTTGGCTATATGATCATTTATTAAAGCTGGGATCGAGTCATCGAGTATATGTATACCCAGCAGGCGGAGAAGAGAGCAAGATATTAAGATATTATAAAGATATTAAGGGAGCAAGAATATAAACTTTGGAAACAATATCCGCTCTCCAGCTTTCATTTGCGGACTTGACTGAATAATTCGTTTAGAAAAAATCAGCTCCAGGCTGATAAAATGGAATTCCTTTATAAGAAATTGTAGGTCATCAAAAACAGTCTCTCAGTCAGTCTCCCGACATCATAAGTTTATTTTGGAAACAGCAGATATAGTTGAGAAGAGGATGGTCAAAGAAAAGATTGGCGGGCCGAGAGAGTCGCTCTGTGAACAACCGACTACTGAATTTCAAAGATGATTTTTTAAATTAATTTTGATTCTTCACTGTACCATTGCCAAAGATAACACAAAATTGCAAATAGAACATTTCTAACCTGTGTCAAGCTCTGTATATTGTTGCAAGTAACAAGATTAGTTTAAGGATTATATTCTTAACTCGATTCTTTTATTCCGCTTTGTTTTCATTATTATATTTCATGTATATTTTCATTACAATAGGAATTCTTTTTTCGAATCTTAAGATTCAATTCGCATTGCATTTGATCTCACTTTGGCATCTGTTTCTATATTGTATCAGTTTTTATGTTATATTTTAATTTTTAACTCTTAATTTTGTAATAATGATACGCCATCGTATTTCAAGTCTAACAATAACATGCCAAGGTTTATTTATGCTTTTAAATAATTGTTTAGGTGCTGAAAAATCCTTGAAACAAGATTATTCTTAAGATATATCAAATAATCGTTTGTTGGATAAAATTGTACAAAATTATCTTGGATTAATTGATCGCCAATCAGCGACAAATTATACTAACTTCTTTCGTACATATCGACGCGTACCGCGGCCGAAAACGCAGCGTTCGCTCCGCATATTATTCGCAAACGTTATCTGGAAAAACCAGCAAACTATGGTGACCAGCAGAAAAGGCAGCATGGCGGAAGAGAGGCGCAAGTCCAGCATGACGCCAGACAGCAGAAAAGCCAGCGTATTTGAGAAGCCTGTGGACTTGGACGACGTCCTTGTCAACGAGGTCGGCCAGTTTGGTCGATTTCAGCTTCAGAACATCTTGCTCGTCGCCCTTCCTATTATTATGTCCGCCTTCATGAGCGAATACATTTTCTCCGCTGCTGCTATCCCTCATAGGTACGTTTTGTAAATTAAGCTTACCTTCGAATAGGTATTCAATCATAATGTCAAAATACGTAACTCATGTGTTATTAACAGATGTCAGGTGCCAGAGTGCGGTGAAAATAGTAAAGATGCAGAATTCGAACCGGAGTGGCTTATTAATGCGATCCAAAATACGAGCTCTGGCTGGGAGAGCTGTGACCGCTACAGACCGCTCGGCCTCAACGGATCGCTGGACATTTGTCCTGCCTCACTCTTTGACCAGTCCAGCACCGTCCAGTGCAATGGGTTCGTTTATGAGAGAACCAATTCAGTCGTTTACGATGTAAGTTTTGCAAAACTGAGAATTGTACATTTTTTTTCAGGATTTTCACAGTTTGTTTTATGATTGTTTTCAGTTTGACCTGGGTTGTCAGGAGTGGCTGCGCGCTTTAGCTGGTACCCTGAACAGTGTGGGTACTTTACTAGTGCTCATTATCATTGGCGGCATCTCGGATCGCTTTGGACGACGCATAGCGCTTTGCGTCAGTGTTTTCAACCTGGCGCTCATCGGTCTCATCCGTGCTTTCTCTGTTAACTATCCCATGTATTTGGCACTACAGATTTTGCAAACTACACTTGGTGCTGGAACGTTTAGTTCAGCATATGTATTTGGTGCGTTTTACTTCCCACTTCTATTGCAACTTGCTTACTTACATAGTTGTTGAACTCGAATTTATAAAGTGTATTTCAAGTAAAAGCGCATTCTATTTATCAAGTTCTTAGGTTTTCGCGATTGTTACACATAGGAAATGACACTATTTTGCTGGATCTAAATCGTTATGTTTTTTCAAACCAACTAACGTTTTGGGCCTTTACAGGTCCCGGTGGTCACGGCTGACTGAAATGATAAAGACATGTAAAGGCCCCGGAAAGTTGGTTTTTTGCGTGCACTCGACTTAGTTTCGAAAAAATAGTGTCATTATCTGTATCGCATTCTCTTTTCATGCTTTTATACTTATGCCTATGCGATCATGTTCTGGTACAAAGAAGCAGTTACTACATTTATAAATAATCATTTCAGCGACTGAACTTGTTGGACCAAAGTTCCGAGTTGTAACTAGCGCAACTTGCTCGTCAATGTTTGCCGTGGGACAGGTGATCCTTGGAAGTGTGGCGTGGGTAGTACAGCCCTGGCGATATATGATTATGACGCTACATATCCCTTGCTTTCTGATAATTTCTTATTACTGGATTTTGTCGGAGAGTGTGCGCTGGCTACTCTCGAAACGCCGCTACGACGAAGCCAGGCTAGTGCTCGAGAAGGTGGCGAGAGTTAACAAGAAGCAGATTAGCGAGAAATCTTTGAACGCATTATTGAACCCTCCTCAACCAGTCGTTGTTGAGGTAAGAGAAAAAATATTATAAATCTTACGTTGCCTCTATTCGTGATTAGGAAACTTCTTAATATTTCATTGTTTGTGTGTCAGGAAACTGGAGAAGGACCTGGGTTATTAAAGACAATCATCAGGTCCCGAGTGCTGCTGCGGCGCGTGTGCACGACGCCCATTTGGTGGATTACGACCACTTTCGTTTACTACGGGCTCAACATCAACGCTACTGGGCTCTCGGGAAACATGTACCTCAACTTCATCTATACCTGTCTCATCGAGATTCCTGGCTTCTACACAGCGGTGCTCGTGCTCGACAGAATCGGCAGGAAGCCCACTCTCGCCAGCGGGTTTATCTTTAGCGCAAGTTGTAACATCGCCTTTGTTTTCATTCCTGATGGTTTGTTAATTTTCGATATCTTAACACATTCAAACTATTCATATCTAATATTATTACTATAATACATGCTTTATTCTCGATCGGAGTAATAACATTGAACAGCTATTTTACTGTCCGGTTTTAAATTATATTTTATGCTATGTATAGATCTAATGAATAAGATTATTAATATGATGTTTTATGTTAAACAGAATTTATTTTCATATTTTTGTTAGTCGCTTATTGTTTCATCTATCAAAATCAATATAGATTAACTACTATTTATGATTATGTGTTATCAAAATGATTTGATAACAAACTTATGTTTACTGGATGAAGTAGTTAGCATGAAATGAAGGCTTATTACGCTGTACTATGACAAATCGAAATGGCTACGAAAGCAACTTCTATACTTGACTCAATGGTCGCAACCATTTGCCTTTCAGACCTGGCAACGCTGCGACTCGTGCTGTTTTTGCTGGGTAAGTTCGGTATCTCCGTGGTGTTCACCTCGCTGTACCTGTTCACGTCGGAGCTGTACCCCACCGAGTACCGGCACACTCTGCTCGCCTTCTCCTCCATGGTAGGCCGCATCGGTTCCATCACAGCGCCGCTCACGCCTGCACTCGTTAGTACCGCCTTTTAGACATGCCTCTTATTAATAATTAGTCGATATGAGTCCCACTGCTGGTCGCAAGGGTCGTCTCACATTGAGAGGGCTTGGGAGGTAGTTCCCACGCGGACCCATTGCGCATTGGGAACTTCATGCTCACCTAAATTGTTTTGCTGATGTGAGCAGGTTTCCTCGCGATGTTTTGGTTCACCGAAATGCTCATGGTACATTTTAAGTTATATTTCGACACATAAATTCCGAAAAGTTCACGAGATTCATACGCCGCTTTAAACTAACGACTGTCTGCAGAGAGACGGCAGGTCAAACCATCGGGCTACCGGTTCTTTTATGCCCCTTGCACTTTTATTAGTAATGAGTCTGAACTCTGATTTTTATATATTCGCATTAGGCGTGGATTTTGCGTGCGGCGCATGCTGGTTGTGACCTCAACTTATGATTAAGGATTTCTAGAGATGCAAATTTTAGCCGGATCGTTCATTGACTTACTAGACTCACAATCGCTAAGCAAAATACATCCAAACGTCCGATCGACATGGTGCGTACGAATATATTTAATGACATTAGTATTTATATTAATCACGCATCTACAGTTCTTTCGCTCAAGTTTAAAAATTATGCCTAGGTACCTTAGTAATTAAGGTTGCACTCTGTCCTATGATACGACCTTTTTCATTTGAAGCTCTGAGAGGCACTGCAACTGTTATGGACAGGCGTGTAGCTTACCATCAGGCGCACTACTTGATCGTCTGTCACTTGATATTATATAAACAAAAATCAAACTGTGGCATGGCAAGTTCTTTTGAAATTCAATATTAAAGTTGATTAACTCCAAGAGCCTGAAATTGGTGGTGACGAAAAAGAAATGGAAATACATAGGTATATCTGATAGACAGGCGGAGGTTCAGTACCATATTAATGTAGGTAATTCTATACTTACGTGCAATATCGCTTTCTCGTTTTTGGCAAGTATTTTCAAAATGTGTACGTCAGACGGCAAAAAAATGATTCTTGAGAATGAGATTAACGAGATTGACGGGACATGTGGCTTATAAAATTCATCTCCTCGATTTCTCACTATAATAGCAGTTCAGTCGGACCGTCAAGGGGTTCCGGGGAAATTTAAAATATGTAGGTACCTAGAAAACCACACTAGCAATAAATTCATACTTACGTAATATTCGTAGTTCAAGAAATTATTAAGTAGTTTAATTTGGATATAACATAGTCCTAGTCTATACTGCCTTGGTAACACGATTACGAGTCTACTTTATACTAAGTAAATGAGATCGAAACGAGTTTTTTCTCTCGCCATCTCGTAATTTTTTTTTTAAATGAAATGAACTTCACTCGCTTTTCTATCAATATCTAGGACATATCTTGAGTTTCCTTTATCGAATCAGTATCTATTCGTAATGAAATATAACATATAATTTCATATTGGTCTCTACGTATTGAACCCATGTCCCCTAGGCATTTCCTAGAAATATAATATTAAGTCATAGACCGTGATTTCAAGAGAGATTGTGAAATATTTCGTTTGTATCGGTACTGCATTTATTTTGTATCTGCAAATTAAAGATAATAACAAGTTTTAAAAAAATACTACAATACAATAAAAATAGAAAGAACTATAAGTGCTCTATAGCAAAATTGAAGTAAAATCAATTATTAACCTTCTCAAGGATAAGTAGATCTTATTTATAATTTTTATGGTGCCAAACAGACAGTCACTATGAGTCAATTAGACTGGGAACTGTTACATCCCCATATAGCCGGCAACATATAAAAAAATAATTTGTTTAGCTATTCTGTTTGCATTTCACGTTTCCTATTTCATTTGACGCAAATGCAATAGGAAATTAAAAGCGCTTCCGACCAAAAGCCTCCACGTGCAGGCAGATTGGATTTGAACGCCGTCGCGACACATTGCTTCTCGCTATAATTTTCCTTATTGTCAAATATTTAATTAAAGGGTGTTTTAGGGGTAAAATTGTTTTTTTAAAAAGCTATTCCTGAACCGCCCCGTAACAGAACACTCTCACGATACATCGCAATGCATCTTCATGGTGTTGTATAATTTTGACTCGAAATTGCAGAGTCCGTGGTCAGAATTGTCATTCCAGGCCACAAGTTTTTTGAGTGTCGACGAATGTTCCACTTTGAATATACTTTTCCGGTATCACTTTTTTGTTTTTTAAAACTGGTGTATCGTCCTTGCTTTATCGTGTTCATCATTCATCAGATTTTAGTCAATTCTAAATAATTATCTCTCTTTCTCTATTTCACTTTATTTGTGACATTTTCGGTTAACAAATTGTTTAGGTTGAAATATCTAAGCAATTGTGTATGTTTTCATTTTCAGGCGGAATACTGGCATGGCATTCCATCACTGATGTTTGGCACAATGGGTTTTCTGGCCGGCATCCTGGTGCTGACCCAACCGGAGACACTCGGCACCAAGATGCCCGACACTCTCGCCGAGGCTGAGGCGCTGGGCAAGAAAACTAGTTAGCGTAATTGAAATTCCTGTTCAATATTTTCTTGCTAGCTGTTTATTAGAATCGTGAAACTACACTCGTATTTATTAAGCAGTCCTAAAATAAGAATTAGTAATAATTGAAATGATAGTTTATTGTATTGTAGTACATAATTAATAACATTCACAAACATTTTTCTCACAATTTCACGTTGTTTATGTATTTTTTAATATTTTAGCGTATTTGGTTCCCGATTGCCGTCAGACGTCGTCCATGACAACTTAAGCAAAATAAACCGATTTAAAATCACCCACTGACAATAATAATAATGTCGAATTACAAACAAAAGAACGCTTCTAAAATGTTTCTGACATCAGAAGTGCTTGAGAAGGAGCTCGGGCATTCGGACCGAACTATATATAGGAGGAATATCACCTCGATCGCATCGTCTGCCTTTCCCCATAAGTAACCAAAACGCCTTTACATTTTTCGACTGTTTTGTATAGATGTCGGATTTTAGAATGCAATTAGGACAATAAATTTTCTCCATTCAATCTGAAGTAGAAGTAAAACGGCGACGCTAGGAATAAAAATGTATAAAACTCTGGCTAACCCCTCGATGAATTTCTTCAAACAATTCCCAGTGTCATCGGCTGCGACGAATTTGTATTTTGTTTATGCAGGGAGTTAATTATTCAGTCGTTTATTATAAGGGCCGGATATAATCAAATTAAACAAGTAATCTTTTCTTTGTCTCCGCTCTTAAACAGCAATTTCATAATTTTAAGAGATAATTCGTGAAAATGTTTGTTTTATTGCTGATGCCGTAAAGATGTCTTGGTGAGCCTTTTTATTGTTTAAAAGTAATTCATAAGGCGGTTGCAACAATTTTACCGTATAGACTTTGGTACTGCGTTTATAATAAGACATGCTATGAATAATCACTGTATTTTAAGCTTGCACTGAAATCCAAAAATATATCTGCTTTTTTTCTAAATGTTCAACGAATAAATTTAAATAAATCTTCCCTTATGTACCGAATACCGTTTCTGGTAATAACTTAATTTAATATAACTATTACAACCTAATCTGTCTGGGCCCCTTACATGTATATTGTGAATGTCTCGCGTCTTTTAAAAAAGTTTATTATTATTTTTTACAAAACTGGACACTTCAAAGATGTACATACAAGGCAGCGGTAAGATGTTAAGATACTTAAGTAATGGTCTACAAGATTCTCGGGGTCCTAAACCACACATTGCCCGTACGCAGTTTTTTTTGTGCTGTGAACAATTGACTTACTTCTGTTGAATTTCCCCAAATCACAAGTCCGTATCGAAGTAAGGATGCAACGTAGCCATGAAAGGCCTCTCGAGTCGTAGACATAGCGGATGTGTCTCGCAACCTTCTCAAAACATAAACATAACGATGTAGATTATTCAGTACTGTTTGATTATGAAGTTTCCACTCCAACTTATCGTCAATAATTACACCTAAAAATTTTGTTTCTTGTACTTGTTGTAGAATATGTGCACTGTAATTAATATTCAGTTGTAATTTATTGTGTCTGATAGTTCCGAACAGATTCTGACAGTTCCGAATCGTTTGATTAAAGTTGACTGTCAAATTATTGTTGTTGAGCCAATTAACAACTAATGCATATAACAGGGAATAGGGGAAAAGAAAATAAACGCCTTCATTTGATTTAACTTTTATTCGGCTTGATCAATATCCAAAGGTACACTGTCTAAAAAGGCCGCTGGCTCATATATGCCGCCTTGATGTCTGGCCCAAGATAAAAAAATAAACAATGCTGACAATATGTGCACACCTTCCAATAGTGCGGCGGCCATGAATACAGGAGCAGTAGTACTCGTCAATACTCTTTCTACCTTGTCCTGTTGGGTTTACTAAAATATACGTGTAATATTGTTTATTTCTGACATGTCGAGAATGGATTCACCCTCTAATCAACGTTTTGTTGTCAACCAACTCTGTGTCGACAGAAGTCCACACTGTATAGACCATTTGGGCGCATGTGCTCAAGGCAGTAAGACCTGAATACTTTTAAGTGAGTTGAGCAACCCCAACGTGAATAGGAGCAAATCCTCATATTTTATTCGTGGGGAATCCATAAAGATGGGTCATTACTATCAATAGGTACTTACGAAGGCTACTCTTTGCCTATGTTCCACATATTGCGCCAGTTCATTTTCTCTATTTATATTGTCAATGCTGTCTTCATATGAACGCCGAGTAGCATCGATCACTGTTGTCGTAATCCTAAAATCCGTCATCATACTTGGCAGCGCGACATTAATATATGTGTGGTGAAAGATTTTAAAATATTTTTTAAATCGCCCATTTATGGACTCAACTACCCATCGAGTCAATGTAATAACATTGACTCGATGGGTAGTTGAGTCTGGATTTGTTGTCTTCTGGCTCTAGATGGGGTCATGTACGGATTTTAGCCACATTCTTCAATACATGGAATCGAGTTCCGAAAACCGCGGTCCAATATAAAAACGTCATTGGTTCTTAAAAACCAATGCCAAGCAGATTTGTCTTGCATCAAACTACGCATAATTGTGGCGTTTGAAGTTGTTGCTGTATGTGGTCCTATAACGTCCACTATGTAGCCGTCTATGCAAACAAGAAAGGTTTGACTAGGTTTCGGAATTTATGCAGGCTATACGTTAGTCTTGTCATATTAACAAAACCCTTATCGAAAAGCAACCGATTACTACTTAAAACACGCCAAAGTAGTCGATAAACAATAGAACTCGGTAAACACACAAGATCGCAACGACGAATGACGAAGGACTAAGGCGCAGGTATGAAGAGTGCGCGAGCACAACAATAACTGTCTGTGCGACAGAGACAGCATGTAACTGACCGCGCAGGGTTTAGACACGAGTGTGGCGATATTTATGTTGACAGAAAGTGAATTACAATAACCTAATTAGAGTTTTCATAGAATAAAAATAGGTTTGATATCAAATCTTTATTGCACTGTTACATCTGAACCCCATAGATTTTCAGTGTGTTTTTTATATAAAATAGAAAGGGGTTTATAACTGCATAATTTAAAATTAATATGGTTTTTGTATGCAAACATTCATTAACCGGGTCAGATTTGGGCCATCATTTTTGTGAACAAACTGGTCGGACAGTTAAACCTTTTAACCACCAAGTACATGACGTCACGGCTGCAAATTATGATTGTCTTTCCTTCTTGTCTGGTATATCAATCACACGTGGTATCTCTAAATAGTCCAAAGTTCACTTTGCTAGTCAAACTATATCATTATACCTACAACGGTTTTTTTATCACAATATTTAAAAATATAATAATTTGCCGTAATATATTTAATATTATTTTTAGGCATCTTATTCCGCAATGTATTGATCAACTTTTGTGGCGTGGTTCTTCACTTACTTGGTATTTATTTAATATGAATCTGGCACAGAAGTGTCCACTTATTTATATTTCACTACTCATAAACAATTTTTGTTACAAACATTAATTGTCCATATTTGTGGTAGTAACTAATGTTCTATTACATTTTTCACAATAAACTGGTCATTTTTACTATTTATGTCAAAATTGGTAATGAATCATGTAGGTATTGACACTTAGTGGCGCCCTCTGAGAGTCTAGGTCAGAGAGAGTCAGGGTCTATAGTTAGCATGAACGTTGTTAAATTCTAGGTACATTTCTGTTTCTGTCACCTCTGTGCCTCTACCATGAGTTTACTGTGACAGTTGTCAGCTAGCGACCGCGTAAATTACTTTACTAGGCAAATTATACCGCGCCTCTAGCGGTTACTAATATTTTACGCTGTCGCTAGCGAGAACTGTACCAGTGAACTCATGGTAGAGGCACTGATCCGTTTAGGTTGCTTTTTAGGTTGTTAAATTTGTTAGATTTGAAAATATGTTTTCGAAAATTCTTCTTATTAGAATCTTACGGATCTTAATCATTTGACTATTTCAAATATTGTTTAGTAACGAAATATGAAAACAATATTCGTTGAATGTCATTCAGGTTTATGCTCCGACCTCGACACACCTAGATGACGAAATGGAGGCTATGTATGAGGAGATCTCAAAAGCCTTGCATAGCTACAAAACTCACTACACGGTTGTGATGGGGGACTTCAATGCAAAGTTGGGAAAGCGTTGCGGTGATGAGCTGAGAGTAGGGCAATTTGGAGTTGGCCAACGGAACGCCAGAGGCCAGATGTTGGTTGATTTCATGGAAAAGGAGAACCTCTATATGATGAACACCTTTTTCAGGAAATCTCCAACTCGAAAATGGACCTGGATGAGTCCGGACGGTAAAATAAAAAATGAGATTGACTTTATCATTTTCGACGTAAAAGCATATATTCAATGATGTCACTGTGATCAACACCGTTAAAACAGGAAGTGATCACCGGTTGGTACGAGGCACATTGAATATCAATATCCGGCTGGAAAGAACTCAAAGTCTACGCTCCGACCAATACCTGCACAACTCCAAAACCCCGAAAGCTTTCAGCTCGAACTTCAAAACCGCTCCGAAACCCTCGAAAACTGCATAGATGTAGACGATCTAAACAAGATGGTGGTGTATACTGTCCGTACGGTTGGGTCAAAGTTTTTCAAAATCCACCGTACCAGAATAGAGAAACTCTCCGACAAAACACTCCAACTCATGGAACATAGAAATGAAAGGAGGAAGAGAGAAGCAGATGTCTTTGACTAGCAACATACGCCAATTTAATACAGAGCGTATTAAAGAGGCCATTGAGCGGAACAAACGCTCCAAGGTGCTCGCGAGAGATCTGTCTATTGGGCAAAGCCAACTGACGAAGCTAAAAACTGAAATCCTGGGGGAGATAGAGAGTTTCTATCGACAGCTATACTCCACGAAAGCAACTGCTGAAAGCGAGGTTAAAGACCCCAGAGCCAAGCTTACCCGACATTATACCGAAGATATCCCGGACGTCAGCCTGTATGAGATTAGTGTGGCTCTCAAACAACTCAAGAACAACAAAGCGGCGGGCGATGATGGAATCACTTCAGAACTTCTGAGAGCGGGCGGCAAGCCCATACTTAAAGTCCTCCAGAAGCTTTTCAATTCTGTAATCGTCGAAGGTCAAACCCCGAGGGCATGAAGCAGAGGCGAGGTCGTTCTGTTCTTCAAAAAGGGTGATAAAACACTCTTGAAGAACTATCGGCTAATCTCGATTCTGAGCCATATCTATAAGTTGTTTTCGAGAGTTATCACGAATCGTCTCGCTCGCAGGTTTGACGACTTCCAACCTCCCGAACAAGCCAGTTTCCGAAAGGGTTTTAGTACCATAGACCAGATCCATACGCTGCGGCATGTTATACAGAAGACCGAGGAGTATAACCGGCCACTTTGCTTAGCGTTTGTGGGCTATGGGAAGGCCTTTGATTCGATCGAGACCTGGGCGGTGCTGCAGTCTCTCCAAAGGTGCCAAATAGACATTTGGTATATACCTATAGTCTATTTGGCACCTCTATATAGAGGTGTTAAAGTACTTATACAAAAACGCCACTATGTCAGTCCGATTACAGGATCAGAGCTCTAATCCTATCCAACTGCAACGAGGCGTGAGACAGGGAGATGTGATATCTCCGAAAATGTGCACTGCTGCGTTGGAGGATATTTTCAACCTTCTGGACTGGATAGGACTTGGCGTCAACATCAATGGCGAGTACATAACACACCTTCGATTTACCGATGATATAGTTCTTATGGCTGAGACAATGAGAGACTTGAACACAATGCTCGAAGATCTCAGTAGTGTTTCCCAAAGAGTGGGTCTTAAGATGAACATGGACAAGACGAAGATCATGTCGAATGTCCATGTTGTACCCGCTCCAGTTAAAATTGGGAGCATTACACTCGAAGTTGTTGACCATTACGTATACCTGACAGACAGACAGTCCAGACAGGAGCAGACAGTCCAGTTAGGTAAGTCCAACTTTGAGAAAGAGATCTCTCGATGAATCCAGTTCGGATGGGCAGCGTTCGGGAAACTCCTACTAAAAAATCTTTGCGTTCAAATTGCCTCAATGTCTCAAGACGAAAGTCTTTGACTAGTGTGTGTTGCCAGTGATCACATATGGATCAGAAACGTGGTCCCTCACTATGGGCCTCACAAGAAGGCTCAAAGTCACTCAGCGGGCAATGGAGAAAGCGATGCTCCGTATTTCCCTACGTGATAGATTCAGAAATGAGGAAATCCGTAGGAGAACTAAGGTAACCGACATAGCTCGAAGAATTGCTCAGCTCAAGTGCTCAAGTGGAAGTGGAAGCGGGCAGCGCAGGACCGATCGTCGTGAAGATCGTTGGGGGAGGCCCAGCAGTGGGCGTCGTATGGCTGAATGATTTGAAATATTTAGAACTTTGCTGAGATCGTACGACTCACGCGTACCAACAGGTATTAAAATTCCTTTGGTAAGAGGTTTGATTGTAAACGGCATGTGCCGCCTGCAATTTTCGGTCATTATGCAGCTTGTGTACTGTAGTCTAGGCTCTACTCTATGAGTAGAATCACTGGCTGAGTGAATATAGTTTTGTATTTAGAATATGTTTGAAAAATGAAATAAGAAAGAATAGAACATTTTGAGAGTTCGTAATGTAACCTGAATTAGAAAATATGTGAAAAAGTACAATAAACCAAGTTTCGAAGATTATCTCAGTTTATGTTTACAAAAGTACCTCTCGCTACGCAACACGAGCTACGTCCCAGTTTACAGTACGTACACCCTCAGAGAATATCATTGTGTTGCGCCCTCACTGAAATGACAGAATACGACGGAGCTGAAGTTGGAGTTGTGCCAACCCCTGGCCAATTTGTCGTAAGATGTCTTTTATGGAAATGTTCAAGAGTTTAATTATTGTCATACTTCATTCCTTCGTCAGCTAGGAATTTAATTTGGCTGGAACATCACAACAGTCCGCCACTTAGATGCTTCTATAATTATCGCACTTCCAAACATAGCTAAGATATGAAATAAGAAAGCTGAGATGCGCGATTTAAATATTTGTAATTCCATATACAAACCTTTTATAAGTACTTGAAGTGTTTTATGTCTACAAGTATAAATGGTATAAATTACGTATTAAGAAAACAACAGTTTATGAATATTTTTCACTTAATACTATTTGACATTTTCGTTAGAGATTCTTAGAAATCTTATGTTACATTAAAGTCTATCAGTTACAAATTTATGTCTAAGTAATGTAAAATACTTTGGCAACAATTCTAATTTTAGTATCACCGTTTTTATTGTTACTAATCGGACTTACACATACGATGAGCACGTGGACAGGCTGACAACCGACGATGGCACCGAGGCTTCGTGGGCACATAAGAAGCATCCATAGAATTCTTATGTTGTATTTTACACTTGTGAAGTGATCGAAAGTTAGCAATTTTATATTAACGACGAGTCACTGCACCGACGTTGTAGACCCTTAATTTTCACGGATAGGATTTTAAGGGATAGATGCTTTTTCTGTTGACGTAGTATTGACGCCACAGTGGTCATCGGCGGTGTCGTCGCGCTTGTCGATGTTCTCGGCAGCGGCGACGTCGTCGGGCAGCGCCGCGCGGCTGGCGTCCGGCAGCAGCAGCGCTAGTAGCGCCGGCCCCAAGGACACAGCGCCGAACATCACAGTCGCCAAGCCGGACATGTACTTTTCCTGGAAATACACCATTTGTTAAAATTCTTTCGTTTAGTTTGCGTTTACCTACTAATGATAGCGTGAGATTTGAGATAATCCCACGGATGTAGGACATAATTATATTGTCGTGAAGTAAGTACGTCGCCAAGATTTTTATAGGGTTAACGCCTGTTAGGGTTTATACAGAAGGAACCATAGCAAATCATTCATTGGAGAAAGCTGAAGAAACCAGGATCGCAGCAAGGACAGATCTGAAAATTCTACCCTTCCCAGGAAAGGAACGGACGTAAGTTAAATATGTGTGATTTCGTACCAAAAGCGGAGTCTGTGGGGCGAGTACGCTGCCGAGGCGGCCGACGGTGGTGGCGAGGTTGGTGAGCGAGTTGCGCGATGTGGTGGGGAATACCTCCATTGCTACTACGTACAGCGAGAACACCCCGTAGCAGCTGCCCATCATGCCCATCAGGAAGAACATCAACGATATCCATCCCATTGCTATTACCACATAACAGGAACAAATTGTAATAAAATGTGTAACTCATTTTCAGTAGCAATTAAACAAGTGGCGAGTTTTGGAAATGCATTACAACGGAAAAGAAGTAAAATTTTTGTCATGATCAAATTTAAATTCATTTCTGAGATACACATGTAGCAACATAGCTAAGAAGATATAATCACAGGGTATCCATGGCGGAACTTACATTTGGGTCCGAAAGCAGCGGCGATAAAGAACACCGCACAGAAACAATAGGCGACGCAGATGGGCGCTTTGCGACCGAACCGTGTGAGCGTGAATGCTGTGATCACCCTCGTGGGGATGGCGACCAAGTTCAGCGCCGCAAAGTTGATGTATTTATTCCCGGAGATGGTGGCAGAGTTGATGATTGTCCCGCTGAACACGAACGTCGCGCAGAAGAAGCACGCAGACATTAGGCATAGTCGCAACATTATAGTCTTCGAGCGCATCAAGCGCAAGATGTAGAACGTCTCTTGTTTTTGTTTCGCTTCTGCCTGAGGATTTTAAATGTTCACTGTTTGTTATTGCATAGGTATTAAAATTGTTACCTCTTAGAGCACAACTAATTTGTTTGCGGTCAGTCACCTGAGTAACTTGATTATTTTCTTCGGAAATCTTAGTGAGCATCTCTTTGGCTTTGTGCGAGAGTGTAATTTTGTTGATTTTGGCAACTTTGTTGAGCACGCGTACGGCTTCATCGCGTTTGTTGTGCGCGAGCAGCCACCGCACGCCTTCGTCCACCAGGAAGATGTAGAATACTACTACCAGCAGCGGTGCGTAGATTGCGCGCATCAGTGACCGCCAGTAGGGTACCTTCCACGCGATCAGGCCGAAGAACGCTGTGCCGAAGCTCGACAATATATCTGACATGCACGAAAACACCACGCGGCGCTTGTGGCTCACCGTCTCCAAAGCTGCAACAGCATTTTACGCACTTATTATAGATAAGTAGATTGAACCAAATTATCAATATGACATAGTAACTAAGTAGAACTGACCTAATATCTGGTATTTTTGTTATTATAGACAAATAGGGAGCGACCATTCATCAGTCATCATGTCGTCATCGAATACAGTGGCATTTGTTTAAATCATTGTACTCAGTGATATTAAACGTTACAAATATACTGTTTTAGAGCAGCGCGTAATTATTGGAGGTTTAGTTTCATTGCGACTAAAGGCGATGGATGATTTCATTTCCTTATTCTTCATGTAACTAAAATTACTCCCTTTATATGTTAGTTGTCTTGATCATCGTGAAGGAGTGCACGAAAGGAGCCTTCTCCCACGACATACCATTCTTTTCCATTGTACGTTTGATGCACCCTGGGCAGCAATCGACGAATACCTTACGCTGATTGGCAAATCTTTTCACCACAATGGCAAGCATTATAGTGTATGTCATCGGTACGATAAGAAGTAGACCATCGTGTAGGTAATTGTGATAGTTTTGATTGGTTCCGTATCCCTACAGAAGGAATATTTCATGACACGTACTATTCTTCTTAATACTTGATCTATCAGTAAGTAATACTTTAATCCTATAATGAGGTTATTTATAAGTCGTCTTTTGGAGGATCACTTACAGAGCACCATTGAGGCGTTGCCGTAGCCGAGGGCGGTCTCAAGGAACTCCAGTACCACCAGCATCCAGTAGTTGACAGAGAAGGACTTCACCAACCCCACTACTCCCACCACCAGTGGCGTCGCCACTATGATCACTTTGCGCCCGTATCTGCAATTGCAATGCTTAGTTTGATAAAGGTCATTTAATTTGGAATTCCGATTATAAAGGATTTTTGTTAAGATTTTCAGTGATTATAAATATCCTATTTTTATTCAAGGATTTCTTCTAAGGCGAGGGTCCACCATTATCTACGTCGCTGACTAGGGCAGCCAGATTATATGAAAGAACTCCAAAAGGCTGACTCATCATGAGCTGCGCGGTGAATGAGTCGTTCCATACGTATTGTGTTCTAAATAGTTAATGTAGAGTATTAGTAACAAAGAGTCAGAATTTGTATTTTGAATAAAACGTCAGACTTTAGCAAAATTTAATCTCAACTTTAACGGTAACGTGATAGAATATCGTAAATACTGTACTATTATTTACCTATCTGAAATAATTCCCGACATGATGAACGAGAAGAGGAGCCCGAGGTTGTGGATGGTGCCAATCAGAGTTCGCTTCCACGGTTCGCAGCCGAGGTCGAACTGCAACCAGGACATTACTCAGCATCGATCAGAGTAACATAGTGAACCGAGAACACATGTCGCGTGGGCCACAGTCACTGTCAACGTTCATGTTGCTAATGCATGAAATCCATTTCGGCAGACAATATCCTTGACGTACTAAAACAATCGACAACGCAGTGAAATACTGTCAAATAGCATAACGCAAGAGCCGCCTGCGTGACATCCTTGCACTTGAACGCGTGACAATGACCGTCGCCCCTCACGCTCCATCATCATTATTTGCAAAATGCTCACAATGATGTACGCTGCAAATCTAACTTTGCTATTGTAACAATAACATTTTTGTTCAATTCAAACGCAGATTTTCCTTGTGCAACGATAACAGTAAGTTCGCCACGTAATGATAACGACATCGTGCGTGGTCACGGTAATTTTCAGGTGAAACGGTAAATCTATCCTCATCTATTTGATAAACAATGGCTTGCGCGATTGTAGCTCTGCGTCGTTGTCTATCGCCATATAGGCGGTGCGGTGGAAGGTAGGTGCTATTTACAAACAAGTTGCTTCCACGTAGCTACATATTTCTTTTATATGAATTACCTCGGCGACGATGCTGTTGTAGTCTTCGTAAATAACTTTATCGCAATGCACTGTTTGATTAGGAAAGAATTGTTCCGCGGAGCAGGTTCGCCATGTATCATTCCCTTGAGAAGCGGGGACCGGTGCCAATCGGAGGCATGTGTGGCTGTCATTCGAGAGGGCAAAATTCCTCCAAGAAGCACTGAAACGCGAGTCCACATCCTCACATTCCGGCACAATGCATCTGAAATGCGACGTAATATTCTGAACTGTAGTGATACAGTTATTATGCAGCAAGAGGACTTGTTAAACAATTGGATGACAAGTTATTATCCCATAAATTAATAATAAATATAAAGCGTCAACGAAAAATTTATAAGTTTTTCATGCAATTTATAAGTAGGTGTAATGTTGTCATGTACGCGGCGCGACCCGGCGCGACACGGCGCGCAGCGCCCACCGGTCATCGTAAAAAATTTATGCTTAGCAATAATGCGCTTTTCGAATCCATATCACAAATATCGTCAATAAACACCTGCTTCGGCCCAAGGTCGCCCCCTCTTACATTGTATTTAAACCTTACTACAAAATGTACGTATTCTTTGTGCAACAAAAAGGTCCGATCATTGAAAAATGTTTATTCTCTAAGTTGTTTGTTGTCATAACATGCGACCAACAGCTGCAACTGCTGTAATCACACATCGACGTAACAACTTAGATTACATTTTGTGACCGATAAAATTCTTTTAGTTTACTTTTCGTTTACTTTTTTAATTTATTCTTTATAACTGACTGACACATATAAATACAAATAGGTACAGTTTCGGTTTAGATACAATAGACAATTTAGTTCAGCGAATAGTTCTAGCCACCACACATACAGTAAAGTAATTCTTTTCATGCAATGATTACACGGCATTGTACATTTTAGCTACTTAACGGAATACTTAGTTGTCTTCTGATCGTTACGTACTTTTGTACAGAGACTCATCGTTTATTGTTAATGTTTATTTGAGACAACCGCATATTGTCCAAGGTACCGTTAAGATTTTCAAATCAAATCAAATAATTCGTCATCATGGATACAATAAAGATGTTAACATTTTATGATCGCCATGACGTACCATCAAGGCATAAGAATTATTAATTTTAATAATAATTAATAATAATAAGAGTCATAAATCACTGATTATTGGAAACCTATAATCTTCACAAGACAGGGAAAAACCAAATCTTAAAATCTACAACAGTTAGGACATCAAACAAAAGTAATTTAACTAAGATAATAATCAATGTAAATAAATCAATGTCACAGTCACGTTCGTCTCAATGTTAAATTAATTAATGTGAAATTAGTTAACAAAATTGCTTTAAGATATAAAATGATTTTTCAATTAAATACTCAAATAATGTGCCTTAACTGTAATGGCAATTTATTGTAGATTTTTGGTGCCATTGCAATAATACTCTTCTGACGTTTTACAAATTGTAAAACGTCACTATCTGACGCAACTAGTCACTCTGGGGGACTTTAATGCGCACCATTAAGAATGGTTGTTCCCATACCAGAAGACCGACCACGCTGGGCGAGAGACGCGTAAACTTGCGTTAACGCTAAGCGTATCCCAGCTTATCAGTGGCGCCACATATGATGATTTTTTTATTGTCAGAGGTTAGGAATGACATCATATCGCAGAAATGATTACAGAAAGTCTCAAAGTAGAGGTGTTTATTTTTATTATTTGGAGGTCTATAAATCCACATTACTATCAGTTTGTTTTCAGTTAGTTCTATAGCACGACAGTCACATATTAGGAACACTAAGCTTATGGATGATGTCAACGTTCGTGTATGTTAATTTTTTTTTTCAATATACATGAACCACCATTTATTTTGAACCTAGTAAAGTGTGCTGCTAATTCAAAGTTAATATGCAATAGATCTATATCATCATGTACCATATTATGCCCTGTGATGCAAATAATGTCAGTGTCTTTGTCACAAGCTGGCAACTCTTCAAAATCAGTTCATCCAATTTACTTAAAAACTCATTAATATTTTGATGCAAAATGTTTATTTAGTATATATATTTACTTTGTCTATTGTTACGACTATGCCACTGTTGTGCACAGAGCCTGCTTGAATGTTGGAACAATAAATAAATTTACACGTCAAGTGAGAATACAACAATAGAAACAGATGAAACCAAGCAAACCGAACCACCTGATTGTAATACGCGGGATAGGGCCAAAGCAGGCATTTTACACGATTCGTTACCATCATCGTTCCAGAAGCGTGTTTTGGAGGAGCTCGCATTCGAATAGTCCGCTGCAATCAGTCGCACTGACCTGTAACTGACATCTATGGCGGTGAACACGTAATTGTAGTTGCACATTGCGAGGAATGAGTCGCGGAAGGCCAACAGCAGCAGTAGCAGCAGCTGGTATTTGCCAAAGGAGCCCAGCTCGACCAGAATACCATCCAGGTTGAACTGGCTCTCCCCCGCACCTCCCGCAGGTTTGCTGTCATCTGACATCTGCAATAATGTAAACTCAGTGTTTTATTTTTATTTATAAAATTTAAATTTTTGGGAAAACAAAAAGTATTTTGATGTAAGTATTTACTTCTTTCACTCAAATATAATATTTGTCTCAAGCAAAGGGATTTCCTGTGAGGAGAACCAGAGCAAAGGAATTCCTTCCGAGGCACTACCGGGAGCACCCAGATTAGAAGTAATTTAGAAAGAAAATTTCATTTCTCAAATTGGTCTTGCCGGGAATCAAATCCGGGATCTCTTCATCCAGCGTCTACAGTGCAAGCCAAGGGCCACCGAGGTCGTTCACTCCAATTATTCTTTAATTTAGTACATTGTCGCCATACCTTGACTTTGACGTCCTTCGCGATCATCATTGAAATTTTTCAGTCTCAGTTGCGATGCGAGATCATTATATTCGAAATCTGTAACAATACATTGTTGGTTAATTGTGACAATTATACACAAGTATAGTTGTCACAAGTGGCTCAAAAAATGATGGCACTATTATGGCATCAGTGCTATAATTTTTTGAGGTACTGCTCAATCGCATGTGGCAGGAACAGAAGAAACGCAATACATGCCTATATTCATAAAATAACTTGTTATTTATATTAGTTATTTTAAATGACTACTTAAATAAATAATAAGATACGAAAATAATTTTGTTTAAAACGTGTAACAATAATAATATAATAACAATAATAAAATTTATTTATTTCCACAAATTACAAATAGATACAATATTACACATACAACAATTACAATGAAAGTGGAACAGGTAGCTGAAACCTAAAAATTCGATACAAATTTAATTTATTTAAATTATTGTTAAGTTTTCATATAGCATTAACTTGTCGTACAAATATTAGCACAAACGAATTTTGACTGTTTAACGTGTTGCATTGCAAGGTAAATTAAATGGAGTTAAGAGTGACTGAATTTGAACAAGGTCGAAACTAAAGTAAACAAAAAACAATAATATTTATGATGAACACACATTAGCTCTAATACGTTCGCGGGACTGTTAATTTTTTAAACTGCCAGCGCCGCTGCATTTAAGTATTTTTATTAATACATTGTTTCTTTTCTTCTGTCAATAACATACATGCAACATAACACATGTTTTCGTGTGCACATCTGCAATGCAAGGAAGATTTTCATGAATTAAACGCCAATACCTGGGCTACTCCCGAGTCACATTATCTTACAACTTGTGATCAGCCTGAGCCTATAGCTATAGCAACAACTATAGCTTAAAGTTCGTTAAAACGAATTAAGTTTTAGTTCTTAGTAGTAACTGTAGAAGTCTTTCTGATGACTTTGAGCTGGGAAGTAACACCCACCATATCTATTTCTGCCGCCAAGCAGTAATGTCCGGTGTTGAAGAGCAAATAAACGTGCCGGTGAGACTACAGGCTCACGTTACTGCAACTTTTCACCTCAAGATCACGGGCACATGGCCGTGTCCTATGGATCTTTGCGATTTGCTCTGAGAGCACTGCAACTGTTACGGATAGGCGTGTCGCTTACCACCAGGCGCACTTCAAATTAAAGAACTGTATAATAAACTTGTGTAATTCCTGACACCGGTTGTGTTTATGTCACTCGAGACAGTACTCGCGGAATGAAAGCAATGCAGTGACACATATGGTATTTATACGCGGAGGGGTTAGAAGCCTCCGCGGAGGGAACGACGCCGCGGCCGGCACCGACGACGTGACGCTGTTGCTACTATTGTGGCCACGGCGAATGTGAGCGATAGTAAAGAAAATACTAAAACTTTCTTATTTTTCCGTGAATAACTATTGTGGAAGGTAAAACATGTCGTTTGTCTGTGATCATATAAGAGTACGAATACTGATTATAATATTTTGTATTTTCTATATACTAATAACAGTTATTTATATTATAATTCATTATTAAATAAAGATAGCTTGTTACTAAATATAAAGCAGCTTTTGTCATACCTTTTGTCAGCTGCGGGCTTGACACGACCCTTAAGTTGACTCACCAACTTGCTGCTTGACTTCACTGTTGTTTGTGAGTTAGTAACCATTTCTGACGACAATTGTTTATACTGGTAATGTTGGATAAAAGGTTACGTTGAGGCTGTGAGGCAAGTAAAACACCAGCAGCGGCGGAGACCCGACAGGGACGATTGTGAGGTCCAATGCAGTCAGCGTCTCTTCCGTGGTTTCAGGTTTAGCTATTTTACGCAAAGGTTATATCGTAGGTGTACAAATGTCGGAAAAACGTGTTTGCGTCTTTTTCTCGACAACTGTTCTATATTTTAATAAAATGTACACGTGTATTTATTGTGAGTGTTTTCGGAAAAATTGATTCTTTGTGTCATAAGATGTAAGAATGGAAGAATGAACAAACATTGTTAAACTGCGTTTCATTAAAATGTTTAATAGGCCCTTGTTTTTGCGCAGGCGCCGCATATAGCGGCCCGGACGGCGGCGCGGCGCGGCCGCTACGTGCCGCCCGCCAGCGTTACATGAATAGGAAGCGTGAGTAGTTTCGAGGAAAACAACGATCGATTACAATAAGCATTTGAAAAGTGACTACATTACATCTGACTTCATGCTTTGGTTTCTTACTTTTGTGTCTTGTTGACGTACTACTGTTTGGTAATCATTTGATGCGCAATACCTAGTTACAAATAATCTTCAATCACAATGCCGTCACCCGTAATTGTTTATAACGTCATAATATCTTTGGTTAAACAATGTTTGATTACCAACGCAATAATATTGGTAGAAAATCGAAACATTTAAACGATTTACAAAACATATGTCGCGCACTCTAGGCTTAAACAGTTACCGGTATTTGCTCAGCGTCACTACAGCGGTATACGCAATGTCTTGTCCTAATCAGTGACTCAATAAATGCTGGTACTCCATATTGATAAAACTCGTTAGGGCGCTATGAAAGTATCAGGGATAAACGCAGGGTTCCACGAGTTTGTGCGGTTGTTGTACACATAGATTGACAGTTTGACAGTTTATGTTAGGCATGTGGCGACTACAACGGCCGATCAGACTACACAATCTGGTAATCCAATAATAGGCGGGCATTATCGGTATGTTTGACAAACACACATTGTTGAGGCTGCGCGCACGGCGCCGGCCCGCAACACTCGCTTTGCTCCTTTTTTCATCCTGCTTCTACCCATAGTAATTGATTCGACGCTACATCGGTTACGAATACATTTACGACTTTTTGTTAAGCGTTACCATGTTGTTTCCAGAAATATTTATAAATAATTCAGGCACATCAAGTGGATCGAGATCAATGCATGATACAAGATTGCATCACATATATAGTTTTATTTACATAGTCAATTATACACAAGTAAAGGTAATACCAGCATGTAATAACAATTAAAACAGGTCAACAGAATATTTATAGCCTGGCCACATGTCTTTACTCGGGTTTTGCTGGGAATTGTCGGACTCAATAAATTTAGTAGTCGAAACAAAATTATAGAATCTGCCTAGGCAATCCCTAGAAATTTAGGGGTGTTTATTATTCATCCTCATCATCATCATCATCACACACTGCTGGTTATAAGCCTCCTCCTCCTCCTCCGTGAACAATCCCCCATTACTCAACTCATCTATCTGCGTCTGTGACTCGGGAGATGTCGCCTCAAATATGCAGTGTCTTAAATAAATCTCATAAAGAGCAATATTTGTCGAGTTCTTAGGTTTTCGCGATTGTTACACATAGGAAATGAAACTATTTTTACGGATTTAAATCGCGTATATGGTCACGGTTGACTCGGAGTCAATATATATATATATATATATATATATAAATACAAACGCTGTAGATGTTACTTGTCTATTTGATCTACAGACAACATTTTTTAAGAAACCTTCTTTACTACCAATGAAAGGGTCGATTTTACTAAAGTGCACGCTATAACTGTTGACAATTCGTCACCACACTGCATTCTTCCCATAGTTGGTACAATGGGGCGGGACGTGAAATAAGACAGATGTCCTCGTAAGATGAATCATCACATAGAAATCTATGCTTTAAATAACGTACGAATTTCCTCAGTATACTATGAATCCTATTTTTGTGTACGGCGTAAGTTAGAGCCCATATTGGGTAGGCGTACTCCAAAATGCTGCGGACATAGGCGTAATAAACGATTTTGAGACTAGTGACAGATGTGAAAGATTTATACGTACGTATGTCAAAACTCAAATTCCGGTAAGTCCTATTGACTGTACTATCAATATGAAGGGAAAATGATGTTTTAGAATCTAGCGAGACGCCGAGGTCTCTTATTGATTCTAACTCTTTCCAGTACATGATCGTTGATTTTATAATATATAAATGATATTAGATTCACTTTGCGCGTAAAGCTACTGCATTGACATATTTTGGAAATACTTATTCTTATTTTATTATTTACGTAATAACATATTGAATTGTTGAGATCCTATTAAATTAAATTACAATTATAGAAATCACTCGCAAAAAAACATATAAGGTGTTTAGTGCTACTGAAGTATGTGTGAATATCATAAATATACGCATTGTAAAAGAGAGAAAATGTGAGCCCTGTGGGATACCCGATGGTACAGAAGTGAAGTCAGATCTATATCCATCAAGTACGACTGCGAGAGCGATTGTATAGATATGACATGATCCACCTCTGCAAACGCCATGTATTCTTAGCGATTCTAGTTTATGAAGCAGGATAGAGTGTTCCACACGATCAAATGCTTTCTTTCTTTTCGGTCCGTGTAAATCACATCAACTTGTCCGCCATTTTCCATCTCATCTAATAAAAAGTTCGTAAATAAAGCTAAGTTAGATATAGTAGAGCGACCCCTCAGGAAACCGTGCTGGGATGTAGATGTACTGCTCATTATCACTGGGTAAATGTGCAGGTAGGCTATTTTTTCAAATATTTTAGCTACATTGTTATCCTATCTCTTAATATGAAATTTCAATATGTAATAAGCTTACCGATTCCAGTCCATTGTAAGTGAATATGTTTTGTGATCTTTTGCAAACGCTCTTTGTCAAAAGATAGAATATATCCAAAATTTTATCTTCAGTCTCTTGTTTCTTACCATTACATTAGATTTTTTGTGTTAGACACAACCTTCATCTCACACTCAAATAGGTATCAAAGAAATGTTATAACATTATATGGACATCATTTCGTTTTGTGTGTGCCATAATTTTCGGTAAATACACGTACAACAAAAGAACGTCAGCAAATCTTAGACGAGACAAATGGACATCATTGATGTATATTTTCTACCCAGTCTACCATTTCTTTTCATGTCCTCAAGAACTGCCGTAGTTAGTTTGGGGTAGATGGTGTTTCTTATTTGTAATTATATAACTACATCAACATTTATTATTCAAATGTGTCAATGTTAAATTCGTAATTTAACTTATTTCCTCAGAGTGAGTAAAGAGTGAATTACGATATTCATATATCGTAACCACGGCGCGATGCCAAGGCAGACAGACATATAATACAGAACTTTGAACATTACTCAGAAATTGAAAAGGAAAATTGTCCATTGAGAAAACAGTCATGCGAAAAATGTAATTATTTTAACGTCAATTCTCCGCCATTCGTGTCCCACAATACACGTTTCTGTACTCTATAAGAAACCTCTCTTAGATTCAAGGTAATAAACAGTAAAATTATTTACTTTTTGAACTAAATGCAAGGCTTCTTTTTATAACACAATTGTAATAATCCTATATTGATTTTAGATTCATTTTATGTACATTAATATGTCTATTGCTCTTCCATATTTCCATCTCATCTACGTATATACGTACTTTCGAATTAAAAATTAGCTCTCATACTGATGAATTTTATCGAGTTTGATGTGCTTTCAAGTAATATTTAGCATTTTGTTAGGAACGCTGGTTTCCTTCTTTTCAATTTAAGTTTCTGTGGATACACTGTGGATCTGTGGGCACATTCTATAGCGCACTATCAGCGTACGTGAACTTTGCCCCTAATTAGTAATGTACATTTTATAATCGTTGAACAGCGTGTGCACAATGCAAATGATAATTCATGCTCTAATTTAGTTTCAGTTCCACCTTGATTTAGCCGATGCATTGCGCCAAGACCTAACCATTGCATGAATTTTACTTTGTGAGCATTTCACGTGTGGTACTTATTCCCCGTGTGTCGCACAAAACGATAGCTTAATTTGTTCATCTGCCATTTTCATGACCGCATATTCGCACACTCATAAACATTGCACAGCTTTATTCACGCACGCAAAGTGTAAACAACACATTCTTATTCTTATGTGGCTTCTCTAGGGACGGATTTGGCCAAACTTTGACGTGATCTTTGACAATTCCTTTCGTGCAATCAAGTACATTATCTAGCAATTATATGTACCAAAAGTGTCAAAGAGGTTTTTAAAATCCTGCCGAAGAACCATTTGTAATCGCTATTCAAGTAAACAATTGTATCTACATGTGGTGACCCGAAATGCTACAATCCTAAATACCCGAATGCATAATTTTCAATGTCTTTGTGTGACGAATGACTCGTGAGTTAAGAATTTCGACTCTGTTGACTACCATCATTTATGTGTAATACATTCTTGGTGTGGTCACACTAGGGTGCACCAGAACAATGTGTTCCAAAAACTTCCCATTGAGCATATATAGCAAGAAGATAGAGACGTGGGAGAAGTGCGTTCACGTAAGAAGATAAGATGTCAACGACGCTCACTTTTCAATTAATAGATGACATGGTAAAACAAACAAACAGTTATGTATTATGTAGGTATGAAAGACGTATTAATAATAGACGTTTCAAGTGAAAGTGTCTGCTTATCGCGCACGCGAACTTCAAGGTTCGCGAACTCACGACCTTTGAACACGTCTTTCGATTCCATTCCAGATGTTGCTTACTATTTAAAAGCGGCAAACAAATTTTCCAGATTTGATTTGCGATAATGATTTACGAGAAACGCTTTATCTAAAGTTACGCCAAATCGGAGCTACACGCTACGCATTAAATAAAAAGTGATAATAAACAAGGATAGCTCGGTTTCTGAGTATAGGTTTTACCAAAGTGAAATAAGTCTTATTCCAACAACAAGACGTTAATTGCTCGCGTCTTACTCTTGGAACAAGACTTCTTCGACTTTGGCGGAATCCACACTGAATGAGGTAAATACGTAGTAGTTAAAAAATTATGTACTATTTTGCTATAGCTATTAGCTAGTTAGTTACTTAATAAAACAAAATAGAAAACGTTTCTTAAGCCATAATACAGTAATTATATAGATCTTAAATAAAATGAGGTACAATGTATTCAACCTGCAAGCAGGTGTGCAAATTTTAATTGAATTAAATATTTTGGTCCCCAAAATTAAGTGCATTTCGAATTAATATAAATTAGTATTTGTAAATTCCAAATATTCTTTATAACTATAGAAGCAATGTGTCATAAGCCATTCTGTCAATTTGAATCGTTCTTTTCGGAAATTGGTGTGAACACTACAGAATCATTAAATTCCTCCCCTTCTCTTGCTATTGATCTCTTAAAAGAAAATGTTAACGTTTGTGTGGTGTATATTTAATTTCCGTCATGTTAATCCACAAGACATCATCAAAACTTTTAAATCAATACATGTTAAAAAAACTGTCAACTAAAGTTATAGACTCCGTTATTTATCTAATTTACCCAAATTTCGCTGTTGCTTTCAATAGGTGCGTTAGCGAAGGTGTTTTTCCCGATTTGATGAAATACAGCAAGGTTATTCCTTTATTCAAAAGCGGAAAGTTGATCCTAGCAACCACAGACCTATTTCAATTTTACCAGCTTTAAGTAAAATATTCGAAAAGGTTGTACTAACTTTATTACTGTCCTACTTCAGTAGGAATAATATTTTTCATGGTGAACAATACGGGTTTACTAGTGGTAGATCGACTAGCGATGCGGGGGTAGCGTTTCTAAAATACATCTTTGGTTCTTGTCAAAGGTATCAGAACGGTATTGGTGTTTTCCGTGAACTCTCAAAGGCGTTTCATTGCGTTGATAATATTACTCTTGTTAGGAAGCTACGAATATCTATACTCTTGTTAGGAAAATTAGGGTGTAAATGGCAAGGCGTTGGAACTTGTCTCGTCATATCTCAACGGTAGAATTCAGAAAGTAGACATACATGGATTGACTTCTTTGGGTTCTCCGGTAAAAATGGGTGTTCCGCTGGGCTCAATACTTGGACCTTTCTTATTTTTCATTTATATTAATGACCTGCCATTCTTTGTTAAGGATCATTGCGAAATAATATTGTTTGCTGACGACACATTTCTGATTTTAAGAACAGTCAGACATGACGTTAGCCATACTAATGATAGTTTATTGGTTTAATGCTAACAATTTCTTGTTTAATGACAAGAAGATAATTCTTGGGAGTGACCTTAGATAGTAAACTTCAATGGTTCCCACGTATATCTTCCCTGGCCAGCGGATTAAGCTCCTATAATGTCCTACGGGATTTTCATGTGGGGTAAAGCGACAGACATAGAAACTAAATTGGTGTTGCAAAAACGAGCGATTCGTTCTGTGCACCATTTAGGTTCTCGGGTTTCTCTCAGAGAAAAGTTTGAGGAGACTGGTATCATGACTGTGGCATCACAGTACATTTACTCAAATATTATTTATGCCCGTAAAAATATACATAATTTCATTAAAAAAGAAGATATCCATAATATTAACCTTAGAAATGTGTTTACTCTAGCACGTAGAGCCTTTTCAAATGCAGAAACTGCATCACAAAAACAAATAAATAATAATAACACACACAATATACATTACATCAAGTGTAGTGTATACACTTCTACATATAAACGTATATTATACCTCAAATGCTTCGCAGAACGTGGTTCCACATCAACAACTTACATAACGTAAATAAGAGAAATAATTATGTTTGTGAATGTTGTAGTTGCTGTCTGTTTTTTAATAGATTATTTTACAATACAAATCTAAAAACTGAAACCCGACTACGACAAACAAAGCGTGTTATAAAAAGAAAACAAGAGCGAAATGTTCATGAAACGGAATTTTGTTTTGATCACAGTTTCAGAGATGAATAAGTAACTTGTAGTTGGAAGCCATTATTCATATACTTCGTATATAATTAATAATTTCTTCGAAAATCATAGACACACAATACACCGAACATTATTGCCACATGTTTCATATATTATTGAAATGGTATTTTAAAGCTCTTTAATTTCACGGTCTTTAATATTCATTGTGACAAATGAATGTGACAAGGGTGACTTATACATTGAAACTGGCTAACGCGAAGAAACAAACGAGAACATACACATACGCACCTAATATCATAACACATAAAATAGTGAAGATTAGCGGCGGCGAAGTAGCCACCAAGCGCCCGCGCATCGATTACTAATAACGTGTGTTTACCGAGTATGCGTCTCTCGCATACTCGGTAAATACACATTATACGATTGTATTGTTTGAATTATACTCCTAGATTACAGGGCTTAACTTTAAAATGTTTTGTTTCGCTAACAAGGCGCGCGGTGAGGGCGCGGCGAGGGACGAGGGCGATTGTCATTATTTTCGCTACCGTAACGCGGACACAATGGCGGAAATTGACATGTAAGTATATCGCTTGACACCACCGTTTGTGGCGGAAGTGAGATATGAAATGAACATTACGAGGTTTCATATACCTACTTACAACACAGCGGACAAGCGTCTTGTAGGAAAGCATTTAAAATACCAATTAGCGAAAGGGTGTGCGGAAACGCCTTGGGGTTGTGTATTTCTGAACTATTCAGTAAGTACATGTTGAATTGGCACATGAGCTACCTCTGTATGGAACTTCTACGCAAGATAATCATCTGACCAGAAATGGCACAATTGGAGTCAAATAGGCACGGTAATGTAATCTGAACTTGTGTCCGTCGACTACGGATTAATCCAAAAGAAACTGTTTCATCCAGTGTTTTATTACAAAAACCTTCGAAGGAAGTTGCGAAATTATAATACGACGACGCTTTGATAACAAGTTAACGTAACGCAAAGCAACATTTGTACTCACAACTCGTTACTTGTCGATCTTCGTAATGTTTTCGCCATTACCGAATGTCGTGAAACTACTTACCACTTTTGATTACGGGATGCACATAAAAATCCTTAAATCGTCATTATCGGCGTACTTAAACAGCACTCGAATAAATTTCGCGGTTTTTCACTTTTATTATTGCAACACTAAACAAAATAACCACCTCCACGAAAATTTACTAAATAGTTCAAAGGGCCAAAGATAAATAGAAAGGAATTAAGAGCGTGAGTAATTTTCGTATAGAAGTAGAATGTGAAATATAGAAGGTGGTAGCAGGCTGGAGGCGCGTAGCGAAGTGCGCGGGCGCCCGGGGCAGCGGAGCGCACGCGCAACTAGTGTCCAGCGGCAGTGGCGAATGTTGGCTACGTGCGCGACCTACTGCTGCAGCTACGCGCAGCGAACCTAGTTCACACCGCTCTGTCGCGCCGCGTCCGCGCCGCACAGACGTCGACGTTGTAACAGTATTGCAGGTACGTTCCCGCACGTTTTAAACTAGAAACACGAATGGTTAAATGTCATCATCATCAGCCCCTCAATGCAATACTCAGTATTGGGCATAGCCGTCCTCTGAAGTAAAAATGGACCCTTTATTTATTTAAAAAGTTTAAAAGAAAATTTTCTACAACCTACGACAGGCGAAAAGACAAAAGAAAGCAAATATGGTGCGTGGTGGGCAGAGCGAGTAGGAAATATTTTCGTATATTCCACAAAACCGTAATGATCACGACTACGACTGATCAAAAGACAAGACGTAGAAAAGTAACGTGTGAGCAAAGGGTGTCCAGCCAGAACGATTTTGTACTTTCTGAAGCAATAATAAGGGAAATCACATATTTCACATGGGCGAGCGAGTATTATTTTGTTGTAAGAAAAATAAACAATACGTTGTGCCATTTAGCACGGCAATAGCCGTCATTAGCCCGACCTTTATCCCGATACTCAATTCGTACCGACCGATCGCTCATTCCCCACAAAACTGTCGCAATTTTGGCTTCGCGTGATTAACATAATAAAAGTCAACGACGCAACCCAAAAATGAATGAAATTGAGTAGTATTATTCTGTGAATTTGAATGTTGTAAACATCATGTTTTTATTATTATTATTAGATTTATTACATTTTTGACTATTGTAGTGAGTAGTGAATACGAGTATGTGCATATATATTTAATAAAAATAAATATTATTTTACGTTGACATAATCTTACTAGGTTTACCTATATGAAATTGACATTTAAAAGTCAGTTCTTATAACTTAACATTATAATTTGGAAAATATAAAATACACAAATTTCCTGAACACTTGCATGTGTAAGGTCGTGGCAAGTGAAACAAATGAGTGCGTACAAAGACTAACTCTGTATTTAATAACATCGATTATATGGATGTGAATACATGACTGAACCTATTCTACATAATATGCATACACCATACATAGGTATACTACATCTACGGGGCAACAGACAAACAAAATAAATGAAAATTCCATTTATTTTATTTTCGTTGATATAATATCACGATTAAATAAAGTTTAAATGAAGTGGTGTAGCTTAAAAATATTTTATCACTAGTACATACTTTTGTTTACAATTGATTTTTATTGATAGCATATTTTAGTCCTATTCTTGTGGACTCACTCTTCCTTACCATTTCTGATTATAATTACATTTGGGATCTCTATCTTCTACCACTTTATAAGGTCCTAAATACAATCTATCTTTCTTATCATTACACGTATTTCTAATTAAAATTAAACTATCCTTAACGTAATACACTGGATTTACCGCTTCGTCATAATCCTTTTTCTTTCAAATTTTCGCTTTATTAAACTCTCTGTCGCATCTCTCTGTGAAATTTGCAATCTGTATTTTAGTTCTTGTGCATAATTTCCATGGTTGTATAACGGTTCAACGACAGAAAACGTTTGAGTTATAACGCAAGCTTTTCCAAACACTAATTCGTGAGGAGTGTAGGTGGTTTCGGTATGGACGGTGTTATTGTAAGCAAAGCACCAGTATGGCAACCAGCTCCTCCATGATGTTTGTTGGTTTTGTGTGTTCATCCTGAGGTATGCACCCATCGTCTTATGGCTCTTTTCCAAACCTCCGATGCTTTCGTGGTGGTATGCCGTTGAGGATGTTTGAGTAATATTTAACAATTTAGTTACCTCTGCCATTGTAGTAGATATAAACTTGGTTCCTCTATCTGTCGCAATCTCTCGCGGAATTCCATACCCAAGGACAAAATTCTCAACAAATGTTTCGGCTACCCTACTTGTGTCTTTTGTCATTATTGTGTAAGCTCCTGTAAACTTTGTCAGTTCACATTGAAGTGTTAGTATATAACTATAGTTGGCATGATCTTTTGTTAGTGGTCCTACGATATCGAGATAGATTTTATCAAAAGCTGAATGGGCAGTCGTCGTAATCACCATCGGCTGCCCAGTTTTTAAAGAATATTTATCTTTTTGACATTTCTTACATTTTCGTACACATTTTGCTACCTCTTGATACAATGACGGCCAAAAATAATGTGTCTTTATATTATTGACCATTCGTCTAATGCCCGCGTGGCCACTAGTAGGCAATAGACAATAGAGAAAGTCATTCATGACAATTTTTTGTCATCTTCGTTATTTATTTTTTGTACTCCTTTAACAATACATAATCTAGGTCCGGACCAGTCTTTAATACATTTAATTCCTTGTTTTAACTCTTCTATAAATTGATAGTTGTTCTCACTTCTTTACTTACTGTATATATTTCTTTTATTCCTATTTTACCGCTAATATATTCCAAATCTCTCACTAGCTCGTCTCGCGTCACAAATGATCGAGATGAGGAATTAACGTATAACTTTGAGACTTTTGGTAAGTATAATAAATGTCTAGTTTCGCATGATATTTTACTTTCAGCTTTTAATTTCTTTAATTCCTTCACAGATGTCAAGTCCAACTCTACTGCGTCGTTTAGTTTTTTGATCATACCTACTACATTCAGGTGATCAGTCCGATTGTCAGTACATACATTCTCAACCACACGCTTTTTATCACTATCCTCCTTCTTTTCATTAATACTTTTCAGTTCTACTGACGTCATCACAACACGAGATAATGCATCTGCTGCAACATTATCTGCTCCCTTTACATACTGGACGGTAAAATCGTATTCTTCTAAACTAATTGTAAAGTTTAACAATCTACTCGATGGATTGGCCATATTAAGTAGATAAATAAGTAACCTGTTTTAAATGTGAAATTTTTTTCCGTATAAATATAAATAAGGTAATTTCCGTATAAATAAGGTCTAAAATATTTAATGGACCAAACTATTGCCAACAATTCTTTTTCTACTGTAGGATAATTTAACTCTTCCTTATTTAATGACCTACTCACATAAGCAATAGGAATATCATTTCTGTTACACAACATTGAGCCTATCGCTTACTCTTTCTGAATTTATATTTTCCTTTTCAAATTCACATATTGTATAGTCGCTCAAAGTTTCTACTTCTACTGTAAAATAACTTAATCTCACTTCTTCCTCTCGTGTATTTAGAATTTTTATCGGCATTCGTTTGCTTTTCGTTGTTGTCAATAACCCTGCTACATACACTCCTTCACACAACTATTTATTAACTACCACACATTCATCAGTTCTCTGACTCTTTACAAAAAATATGTGCTCACACCTTGGCGGAATTGTAATGTACTTATTATAGCCGAATTGTCCCATTTGCATTGGCAATATAAGCTGTCCTGTTTCGTGTTTAAATGTCATAACGTTAATTTTAAAATCTAAGTGACATCCATACTTACTTAAAAAGTCCTGTCCTATTGTACCACTACTTTGACATGGTAAACTTTTAAAAATGTAAAATTTGTGTTTGAATTTTTGTCCATCAATGCATAAGTTCAAATAAATATATCCTTCGGAACTCAACTTACCTCCAATGCCTTTAAT